ATCTGCTTGTTGTTTCTTTCAATAATAATTAACAAGCTCTTCCTCAGTAGCAAAGGCTTCATAGTTTGGGTTAGGGAGGAAGCCCATGTGTCACAAGTACTCTTGTATAATTTGGATATAGTGTGTCTGTAGCTTTCTTCATATTTCTCTCTTTTTCTCTGGGTATGTACTACTGCCACTAGGAATTTAATTCCAATCTTATTAATTAACCTCTCCCACAGTATTGTGCCTAGGTTATAAGGCTCCTTCGTTAGACCATGTGCTCCTGAGGATGAGTCCCTGGTATTTGAAACAGCCTATGACTCTGGGTTAACAATGGACAAAATACAGTAAAACTTTATTTGTACAGGAAGATAGATTTAAAGATGTTCTATAACTTATTTCCTTAGTGAGACAGCGAATAAGACAGTGCATTGATAACTTCTGACTGAGTTATTGCCTCTTTCCCTTCACAAACACTCCTCACTCTCAAACACTGGACTACAAGAAATGAAAGTAGAAATGAAAGTAGCTAAATTTTACCAGAATTGGGTCACTAATAAAGGAAAAGTAAGTCCCAAGTGTTAATTGGCTCCAATTTCCAAGATACAGCTCCAGGTCAAATTGCATCAAAATAATTCAAAATTATGAGGGGGATGTGAGATTATGCTCCATAACTTTTCATAACTCCATAACTAGAAATGCTCTAATAATAATTTTTCTGCAAAATGTGATATAGCAATGAGAATGGTCTTTTAGTTCTCTCTGTGAAATTAGATGTGGTTCAGGAGCATACGGTGGGCAAAAGTTTAGATCCACTGACATTGACTGCCCCAGATCAGCTGCATCCTGCTCTTCATCTTTATCATCATCTGAGTCTAGAGAGTAGGATTCTGGTGGATCTGGAATTGGCAAGTCCTCACCATGGGGTACAGGACGCAGTGCAGATGGAATGTTTGGATATTCCACAGTCCACTTCTTTCTTGAGATCCTTTTTCCAGTTGGGGGAACCATGCAAAAATAGCAGTCACTGCTATGATTGGTGGGTTCCCTCCACACCACTGGGACTGCAAAAAGCATGGATTTTCTCTTCTTGTTTAGCCAATGACACAGATAAGTTGCATATGCAATGCAACAATCATGAGGGGCCCAACTCTTGTCCTGATCCCCTATTTTGCATTCAAAATATAGGTGGTATGCCTTTTTTACCACTGCCGACATACTGCACTTTTGAGATGCAATGTAGCAGAAGTTATCTGCGTTGTTTACGATTTCAAGGAACCTTGGCTTTTGAGGGAAAATATCACGCAACTGTTCCTTGGAAATATTAGGCAATGACACTTTCACAAGCCACCAGATGTAACTTTATGATGCATAGATCTGACCAAGCCAAATGTACCTTGCAATAAAAATTAGTTAGGTAATAATCTTTAGTCTCAGAGTGAAGATAAATTTATACACCTCCATGTGGTACCATTTTCACTGTTCTACAGTACTTTGTTGAGAAATTACGAGGCATCATGATCATCAGACACCTCCCTCCCTTGTAGGCAAATATACTCACCTGTATATAAATCTTTATTGTGAAATATCTTGAAAACTTTAGCCAACCAGCACCTTTATCACCTGTTTTCTAATTCATCTAATCAAAATATGTAAGCATTAGCACATTTTATCTCTGAGGTTAATAATTTCCCAAAATTTGAAGACCAGTGAAATCAACCTTTCTCTTCTGAATGTACTTTGACCAGTCTTTATTTATCTGTTTAATCTCTCTCCCTTGCTCTCAGGTTTGTGTTAACTTCTATCTCACACACCCTGTTAATACTTGATAATATTAGGTTTTGGCTCTCCCTCATTACTAATAGGTCCTCTACTCTACTTCTTTTCTTTCCTAAATACTTTTCACAGCATTCTATGAGACTCTAAAAAGAAGGCTGCTTTTTCACATTCTGTAAACTGCTGACTGACTACAACTGACTCGTACCAAATATTTTCCTTTTTAACTCTCCTCTTGCTCTTCCAAGCTCCGCCCACATCCTCTCACTCACCCACCAATCAGCTCACTCACTCATTCATTCCCCCCTTTGACCCCCCCTACTCTTCTGAAACTTACCAACATTTAAAGGAACACACTCCCAACACTTGAAATCGTTGCCACATATGCAAAAGGAAAAATGGCCATGGCGCTATTACTTCCACGTGTGCACATCAGGCATACGTTCGCACATGCAGGTGCTCTGGATCTGGATAAAAATAAGTACTTCCATCCCTGAAAGCATTTGTGTTGGATAGAGCCAGAGCAGCATGGCATGACAGCAGTTTCTCAGGTTTCTCAAACTATTTTAATAAGCCAAAAAAAAAAAAAAAAAAAAAAAAGATGGCAACAACGGTTTGAAATCGCCACTTACGTGAGTTGACTGTGTCCTGTAATGACCCCAAGCCATTAGGGACATTTTATATGATTTCTCAATTACCCTTCTGCCAAAAGCTCAGGACCATAGCTTGTGCCATATATCCTGCAACAAATTAGTTATTTTCTTTTCCTGCTCCAGTCTGAGCCATTGTTTGAGATGGTGTCACTCAACCTTTTCTTTAAAAAATGGCATTCTGATCCTCCCCCTCCTCCATTAGCAAAGCCATACTGAGCAGAGCTGGAAAAACCCCAGACAGCTGCTTACCCAGTATTCTAAAAGAACATTATACCATTACCTAAGAATCAAAAATGTGTGTGCATGTGTGTCTTTCAGCTTGGTTTGGGGCTGAGGTCCAAATTTTATTGCTAGCTCATTGAGGTAATGAGTACAGTCCAACCAATGTTAAGCACCATTTCTTTCAATCAGATTTACACTGCACTTATATACATTTTCTTGGGATAAATCTCTGCTGAATACAGTGGGACTGAGACAGCAAGAACAAGTCTTCACAAGATTACTTTTTCTAGCATTTCATTTTTCCAGAGAATTCAATGGGATTTAAAAGCACAACCTTCCTTGCCTTGGACAATGTTAGCAAGGAGACTTGTGGCACCTGAAAATGAGACAGATTAATTATAGGTTATACCTATAGGAATGAGAGTACACTCCATCAGTTGTACGATGCATTATCTTTAGTTGCCATTTACATATTACACATAGACACCAAGATGCTTGATAGTTTTTGCTGCCACCTCTTAAGAAATTGTTACCATAGGCAGTAATTCTATGCCCAGTTAAATCCATGTAAGCCCCACTGAAGTCAGTTGGACCTAACTTCTGAAGGAATACTTGGGTTGTTCAAGTCATTTAGAGGCCTTTCAAGAGGTAACTTGGCTTTTTTATCACTTCTCACAGTGCACAAACCTTAAGTCTGCTAAGGTGCTAAGCAGGAAACATGAACTCCAACGGGGTAACTAAACAATGATTTATTTTTATTTTACAAAATAACTCTAACAGCTGCCAGTGTTTAATTTAAATCATAGATTCTAATGATATCCTTGGTGTGTCAAGGCTTTAGACATTTAAAGGCTTGAAACAACTCCTGACATCAAGCAACACCTATTAGAGAATCCCAGCTCTTGGGTCTCTGAAATCTAACAGCAGCAGTTCCCTAGAACAAGCTCAACTGAGACATGATCCTGAAATACCTGTAGACAAGACTGCATGTGAGCTCATGCTTCAAAGTTTACAAACCAAATCTAGAACACTGTTTTGGCAGAGGTTCGCGCATGTCACATCTATTGTGCAGTATGAACGACAGTTGACAAAAAACTCTGACAAAAAGATGCTTTGTAAATTCAGTACATGAGCTGGAAAATGGACCAACTGAGTTCAAAACAGGCATGCCAATGCATCAGATCACACCTAAAGCTGCTAATCCAATTGGCCCCATGGGGCATATATGCAGAGCAAAACTTTTAAGCAGATTTCCCCACCAGACATTGCCTCTCATGATGCTTCCGACATGTTCCCTCCTGTTCTGGTACAGAAAGAGAAGCAGATTTATTTTATTTTATTTTTAAGGGATACTTGTTGCGAACATGGATCCCATTGTATACCGTTCTGGATGCAAGCTATTTGTCCCAATTCAGCAAAGGCTATCAAGGTCTACAAATAAGTTCCCACATACCCATCCCCCAGATCTGCAAAAATGTGCGGTGAGAATGAAAGAGGGATGCATCCACTACATGGGGCTTCGTAGTCCTCCTGCCCCAAATATGCCCAGCCAAGTCAGACACCTTTGACAACTGAACTAGGGCTGGAGAGAAATAAGTTAACATGTCTCCTGACTCAGTATTGACTGGATTTCAGTGTTGATAGCCTGTTGTCTACAGCCTTTCATGATGTCCATCTCTGAAAAAAGAACCATTAATTTTCAACACTAGACTCAACAGTTTCCAAGCATTTGAAGCTTTTAGCAGCAATCTCCACATTACTTCCCCTTCCCAGGCCTAAAGTTTTCCCTGTGGCTGCAATCCTGTACCTATTTACTTTGGAGTAAGGCTTGTGAAACTTAACTGGACTTACTTATCAGTAGACATGGGTTAGATTGCACTGTAAGGTCTGGAGTCCATTCATCTTCAAAAGCACCACTGGAAAAATAATCTGTGTATATTTTCCATCCAAAATAAAATATATACATAATTGCCATACCACTTTGAACTAAACAACATCAATTCTTTACATACAACTAATAAAAGAAGGACAAGTAACATTAACTCAAAAAGATTCACCTACCCACTCTCACACAGGAAGTATGAGACACCACTAACAGTGCCAGAAACAAAATTCACAAGAACATCAATGGGGAATGTTAACTCATGTTGTCTTGCACCACAAACTGAGCTCGATTAATGGCTGCTTCCCCTGGGAACCCTAAGGGTGAAAACAGAGATGAGGTGACCCTTAGCAGGGTCTCCTTGGGCAACTCCTAATTTCAATGGAGGCTTTTCAACTTGGTGTTGATGCCAAGGAAACAGAAGTTTCTGTACACTGGAAGAGCTTTTTTTTCTGAACAGAAAGCAAAGTTTGCCTCTGAGCACATACAGAATAATGCTTCCCTCATCACTAAGGCCTGGTCCATACATGCAGTACAACATGGTGCTAGTGTTCTCAGGCTGAGAATGGACTCTTCAGTGAAACACCGCAGGTGTATGGACCCTTGAGTGAAAAAGTCCCTAGAAATAGAAAAGTAGCACAATGAGAATGATCTGGACTGGAAACCTCTCTCCCTGATCTGTAATTTGTGTTATTTTAGCCTAGACATTATGAATGCTCCCCAACCTATACCTTGAAGTAGTACAGATCACCCTACATCTCAGTATTCAGGCAACCTTCATCAGCTGCAGGTTTAGAGCAGTCTTCAAACATGACTATCCCCTAGCTGTGCTCTCAGGTCTAGGGCTATCTGTGCTACTGACATCTAGGGCCAGGCATGGAGTATTCAGAAATCTCAGAACACTGTTCAGCTCTTTTTAAGAGCTAAGCATTCCAAGCATGTTTCCTTATGAGACCCAACACAGCAACTGGAAGGTAATTATATCAGGAGATAGACGCAACCAATTTAAATGTGATACACACTGGCATATATACATCTCTGTGAAGAACATGGCTCAGCAAGCCATGCACAGAAATGAAGGATTTCCCAATTTGTATATTGCAATATCGCCAAGTGGGCAGAGAGGTAGAATCCAGGGGCAACAGGCAGATGGGGAGCAATGCAATGTTGTTTATAGTTTGGCATGGAGGAGAAAGGAGAAGCAAATCCCACTCTAAACATATGAGTTCACAGTCGTATCCTTGCACTCTGGAGGCTGGCTGCATTTGAAAAAGTGGGAGCCTGCTTAAGTGTTCAGTCCTAAGCACACTTAATAGTAAGCCCCACTGAAGGCAGAAGGACTTCTAAGTAAACAGGCAGAGGACTGAGCTGTAAAAAAGCTTCTTCCACATCCAAAGGGGCAGAAGCAACAGATTTCATAAGCAGGGCAATATCATTTGATATACTACAGTCAACCATACCAGGGGGCAATTTTTAGAGCATGCCCAGATTTTGTTCCCACACCCTAAATATGAACATAATTATCCATCACTTACATAGCACTTCTAATAGACAATTTGCCTTAACCTTTAGATAGCCTTCTTTGCCACAACCCTATGAGGTAGGCTCCTGGTAATTCCTCTTTTACAGAATTCAGACTGAGTGAATATAAATTGCCAAACAGCCAAGTCAGACTGGATCAGGTATCTGAACCAAGATACTCCATGCCTGAATCCATTAGATTATACTAGCTAAGCGACTTACTCTGGGCAAAACTCACAAGCAGCACTTCTATTGGTCCTGTTCCAACTACTTCCTTGGTAATCTAGAAAGGGAAACTGACATATTCTAAATGATGTACTTCACTAATCCATATGGCAAAACCCTGTATGACCAAGTATCCTCCCCTCCTAGTTACATAAGAACTGCTTTGCAAGATCAGGTCACAATGCATGAACTCTGATGCACTGCACAAAAAATAGCCAAAGGGATTCCCCTAGGATATTCATCAGACAGACATGAACTTTTTTTTTTTGGCCTACTCAGGGAAAATTTTGATGGCACAAACCAATGGCAAAATTCAGTAGACTTCTTTGCTCCACATCTACCCTAGAATAGCCGAAGTTATAGGCAGTGTCATCTCCCATTGTCAACATCCCAGTTGCCTAATCTGTAGAGCAAGCAACTCCCCTGTTAACAAGGTGCTGCTGTTCCCTCAGGCTGAAAAGAGGAAGAAAGGAAGAAATCAAGGTTTGGGTTCCTTTTCCAGTCACTGCAAGGTGAAGAAATTTTGTAGAAATGTCTCCAAATGTATCACTGCCACAGCAGCAAAGTCCCTGGGGGTAAAAATGAAGCAGGACAGTCCCATGATCTATTACATCCTGAGCTAAATCCCCCCAATCCAAACACAAAGTCCAGCTATGTTCTTGAGAGGAGTGTAGAAAGAGGAATGGGACTTATCAAGAGAAGATAGAACTTCTTCACCTCCTCCTCAGAGTGCCTCCCTTTGTAAGCCTGAGAGGTCGGGATTGCTCAGGCGCTGGGAAGACAAGACGCCTCTGGTACCTTCTAAGTTTTCAATGCATCTTTCACATCTTGCTCTTTCTCTTCTCTCCCTGGAATGTCTGCCTTTTCTTCCTTTTCACTAACTCTCAGCTCACTATTTGCCTGTGATTCTATGGATACCACGGGATTGCCTTTTTCTGATGCCTTCTCTTTCATATGAATTCTCTGGTGTGTTACCAAGGCACTCTTCTGCCGGAATCTCCTCCCGCACTCAAGACAGCGATATGGCCGCTCCCCAGTGTGGATTCTCCGATGTATGAGAAGATCCGAGAACCTGGTGAATCGCCTCTCACACTCATCACAGGGAAATGGCTTCTCTCCTGTGTGGATTTTCTGGTGCCGTGTGAGGTCTGATGGGTAGCTGAACCTTCTCCCACACACAGCACAGCAAAACGGCTTCTCCCCAGAGTGGGTTCGCTGGTGAGAAATCAGATTAGAGCGCTGAATAAATCGTTTCCCACACTCGGCACAGGAAAATGGTTTCTCCCCGGTATGGATCCTCTTGTGTATTTTAAGCGTGGAAGAAGAAACAAACCTTTTCCCACATTCTAGGCAGATGTAGGGTTTCTGGCCCGTGTGAATACGTTCGTGTACCTTGAGTGCTGACTGGTGGCTGAAGCACTGTTGGCAGTGAGAACAGCGATAAGGCTGTTCTCCGGAGTGAACTCTTTGGTGACTAACCAGGGAGGCACGCTGGGCAAACGCTGCCCCACATTCAGTGCACACGTGTGGTTTTTCCCCTGTGTGAATCCTCTGGTGTCTAGTCAAGTGAGACAGCTGACTGAATCTTGTCCCACACTCCATGCAGCGAAAGGGCTTTGCGCCCGTATGGATGTTCTCGTGCTTGGCCAGATCAGATGGGCGTGCAAAGCATTTCCCACAGTCAATACATATGTGGGATTTCTCCTTCCTTGGGGTCATCCCAGCAGCTGTACACATTCCGTCTTCCTTGGCCCCTGGATGCTGAACTGACCCACCAGTTCTGTTTGTAGCTTTGGCACCTATAAGTTTGGGGGGGCAGTGGAGAAAGAGGAATGCAGAGGTCATCTCAGTGTTGCTTAATGCACTAATGTAAGCAGCGTTTGGAAACGAAAAACCGTATGTGTTATCTGTGTCATCAGCACAATTCATTCTGTTTACAGTCAGGGCTGTGTACACACTGTAATTCTACCATAGTACAGCAAAATGAAGCTGCTGGCATTAACCAAAGGCAGAATTCAAGTTCCCTGACACGCAGCTTTCATATTTGTTTTTTAAGCAGCAACTTCCTAGTCTATGGAGATATGCTTCACCATGTGTGGACAAATTGCCTTCCCCCACCCCATCCAAACATCTCAGAAACTAGCAAGAATGGTGAATAGGATTTCAAGAGTTTGCAGGACAGGGCTGCAGTTCCTTGTATAGGTCTCCCTAACCCAGAATGAATTGACAAACAGGTTGCACAAATTTTCAGAACACTTTCAAGGTGCTGCTGACTGGTGCAAATTTTGGATTGCCTAGATCTGGACGTATTTACTTTAAGTGTTGCATACAAAAGCCCAATTTATGGCACTCATGCAGAATTAACAGAAATCACAGAACTGGAGGAGAACAAACGGCTATCTGAAAGGGCAAATCTGTATCAAAAGCTCCCTTCCTTCCTTACCACTTGCTGCAGGAAGATACCTGATACCTTGAAAAATAATTACTCTGTAAAGCAAACAGTTTCAGATGACTCGTACAAATATGGCAAGCTACTGAAGAATTGTTCAAGGGAAGGACACCAAACCAATTTGCTGACTATTCAAGAAAATTGTTCAGCTGCAGCAATCACATGTCATTCAACTCCTGTTATTAGCTATAGCAGCTCAGGATCACTGGATCTGACAATTTCAGTCTCTCTGAGATGGTTGTTTTTTGTTTTTTGTATCTTTTTAGGTCAATTTCCACACAAGTTTTGATTTAAAGAAAAATACATACAAAAATCCATATACTTTTTCATAACATGCATATCAATAAATGCATTGCTGATATATGCATTGACTAAAGTGTGTTTATAAAAATTTTGGAAATGTACTTGGTTTTTTTCGCCCATTTTTCAGGTCAGTGTTTGAGCCCCAGAAGTGTAAGCTGGGTAAATCAAAAACAAACAAACAAACACCTCTCATCACAACAAATTTCTAACACATCTCTAGTGGCAGTCCCAAAAGGAAGCGGGGGAAATATTTACAGTAACTGACTATGGCAGCAGCTAAATTTGCACTTGCTAACTGATGTTTTTCCATACAGCATGCCACATTTTCTTCTCCTTAAAATGCTTCAGGAGCTTTAAACTTTTTGGTGCAAGAAACCAAAACCCATCTAGAATTCAGCATCTTTATAGCAGTCCCTTGAATTCTTCGCAATTCAGTCCACAACCTTTCTCCAAATGTGGTACCAAGAACTCCGTGTGGTCCTATCCATATACATCAGGTAGTGCTGAGTACAGCAGGTCATTTAGCACCGTAAGTGAAAGCCTTACCCAGCAAGCCAGTCCTCCCATTATCCTGCTGCCTGGCCTCCTTGGCTAGATGCCTTGGCCTAACATCAGGTGTGGCCCGCTGGCCTTCAGAGAGATTCACAGCTGTCCCCTGGAGAGAGTTAGAGCCCTGAAATGGCATTGGAATTTAACATTCAAGTCCTTCCTTTCAAGTAATCCTAACATACGATTACTATTTGTTATACTTTTATATCACTTAACATATTAAACTCCCTACACAATTTACATTAGAAGACAGCATAATGTACTAAAATACAGCCAAATTTGGAAAATATTCCAAAGGGTGGGTGTCACCACTAAGAAGGCGTGCTTAAGTACCACTGCCTGGTAGCATGCCTTTGGTTTGCAGAATAACCAGTAACAACTCCTCAGAAGTTCTCAGGGATCCACTGGTTTCATGTGTCTGCGTGCGCTTGGGAATGATCAGCCAGGTATTCTTGTCTTGTTTTTCCATGGCAGCAACAAGACCCTGAACATGGCTTGGCAGCTAATAGGAAGCCAGTGCAGTTCTTTTAACTGCAGGTGCTCTACCAGAAACCGTAGCTGCTGTGTTCTGCACTAGCTGTAGCCTCCAAACCAGGCCCAAGGGCAACCCCAGGTAAGGTACAATACAGTAATCTAACCATAAGGGTAACAGTACATGGGTCACAGTGGCCAGATTATCCATAAAATACAATGCCATTGATTAAAGGGAAAAAGAGGGAAGGGGAGGGAAGAATAAAGGGTCACAGGGTAGCGGTTATGAACCCAAATACAGTATACAGAGCTCTTTAGTGTTTTTTAGTAAAGGTGTGGAATGGGGAAGTAGCCCCAGCATCTGTGGGCCTACATTTAGGACACCTAAAAGTGGAGATCATCCATGTGTTTGAGAATCCTGCATGATTAGTGTCCCCAGATACATGGATGATCTAGATTGCACACAGAATCCTTTGCACTAGAAGGTACAGCTACCCTGGGACCAGGGGATGTGGGGCAGCAGACACACAAATGTTGAGAGCAGGGGCAGTCCTGCTTCTCCTTACTCCCTACAAGTTCTGTGTATCTCAACTTTCGTTTGCACATATAAGGCATTTAGACTTAGACAGCTGGTATGCTAGGGATAGCTAACTGGGCTCCCTCCAGATGTTTTGAACTTCAGCTTCCAGAATCCTCATCCAGCAAAGCCAATGGTGAGTGATTGTGGGAGTTGTAATCCAGACCTTATGCCCTTCACACTGATCCAAGACACAAGAAAGATATATAGAGACTATGTGTAACATATAGAGAAAATAAGCTGTTTAGAAGGCTGAGTGGGGCAAGTAAGCAGGGAAGCTTGACTACATCGCAGGAGGTCATTCATGCCAATGCCAGTGCACAAGGTTAGGCAGTTCCTGGATTCTAGCACATCAGGCTGGAGGTGGGAGACTATATAATGGAATGGTCCTCCATATAAAAACTCCCTGCATATAGAAAACTAGGAGGTCAAAGAGAAAGGTTCTAGCCGGGTTTTTCCCTGGATCTGTTAGTTTTCCGTATACACTGATGTTCCTCCCTGAAAGGGAACATGTGAACATACAATTCCCAGCATTCAGTCTGACATTCTCCCATCCAAGAACAACTGTTATCTCATGATCCACCCACCCACCCCTTGCCCAACCTGACAGCATTTCTCCACTGAACAGCAAAGGAAGAACAATTTAAATAAATATTCTGTGGTTTACACTAGATCCCCACTAACTCAGAGTAGAATTCAATCATTTTTTGCAGTGACCCAAGTGTTTCTGCACTACTCACTGTCCTGACTGACAGCTGAAGGCAGCTTGCATCACAGAGATGGAGTGCTATTCTGCTTGGAAATGCTGGCCTTTCATTGTACCAAATTTGGTACAAAAAGAAAAAAAACCCCATGAGGTATGAAAACCTTTGTCAGCCTTGTACTTGGCCTGGGTCGTTTGCATTTAACACCTCACCTGTGGTTCATTTTGCAAGGTCTCCTGCTGCCTCAGAAGGAATCCTTCAGCCAAGGCAACAGCCTGGGCACAGGTCTCAGGGCCACGTTCTCGGACTCGGTTTTGGATTCCCTTTGGCAGGACTACCAAAAACTGCTCCAGGATCAGGAGCTCCAGGATCTGCTCTTTGGTGCGGCTCTCTGGTTCCAGCCAGCGATGGCAGAGCTCCCGTAATCGGCTGCAGACCTCGCGAGGCCCCTCGGCTTCCTGGTAGCGGAACTGGCGGAAGCGCTGGCGCTGCAGCTCAGCACTGCTTGAACTGCCTCGCAGGGCAGTAGCTTTGGCCTTGCCATGGTCTCCTTTCTCTCGGGCATTCAGGCCACTTAAGACCTGCTGGGCTTCAGCACTGAGTGTGGGCACGAGGCGGCTCATCCCCTCTCGAGACCACTGGCAGGCACCCACCATACGGTCGAATGCGGCCAAATCATCCCATGAAGTCAAGTCGGGCATCTGTGAGGTCCCCCAGCCCGAAGAGGGATACTGGACCGTTTTCAAGTACTCTTGCCACTGGGCTTCCAAGCGCTGTGGGATCCCTTCCTGCCGTGGCACTGCCCATCTGGACAGGTCCCGGGCAGTACCAGACTGGACTGAAAAAGCGTCTCTCCCTGATCCTCCAGGCCCCTCTCCTGACTCAGGCCCTGTTCGGGCCTGTTCCTCCATCTTCTCAAGATGCTGTGCTTACCCTGTTTCCTTCCAAGGAAGTCGACGGTTGCCACTTTGTCTTTTTTTGGCTCACCCCACTCTCCAACTCAAATGCTCAAACCTGCTCCATCAAAATCCATTTTTCTCACCTCAAAGTAGGTGAAAGAAAGTCCCACCCTTGAACTTAAATAACACTACACACCATCTCACAGCTTTTTCTAGGAAGACTGGCTAAAGAGGGCCCACATGGTAATCCAGATGTTGCCATGCACAGTGACAAATGGGTTCAACCTGGAGCCAATAGGTTTTGGGTTGTTCCTGCTGGTAATGGAGAAAAAAGAAATTAGATCAAGTCAAAGCATCATCCTAACATAATGAAATATGGCCTATCTGTAAGCAATTCAATGATAACAAATTCTCTCAAATCTACACTGGTTGTGTTCCTTTGTCACAATAAACTACGACCTATAATGACAGGAACAAGCATAATCTCATCCGGTTCATGTACTCTCCCATCCCTTCTCCCTCCTCTGGCAGAGCTATTGCTTCCAATTTCAATTAAGCACAGTTTAGCATTATATCTGAAGCCTCAGCTGTAGTTAATCTTAACCATGGTTTGTGTAAACAAACCAGCTTAATAACCCACAATTTGAAGTTGGCTTTTTTCAATCCATGTTTTGGATTAACCACAATTTATTGGCCTTCGATGACAAGAAAATATGTGGTTAACCAAAAAAACAGAAGAGCTTCCAAAATCCTCTTGAGAACCACACCAGAGAAGTGGGGTACATGGCAATCTAGGGCAAGTCAAGGCTTATTCCTGTCATGATAAAACATGGTTTATTGTGATGGCTCTATGTAAGAAACTAACCATGGTAAAATGAACAAGGTTCTGGGAATTTTGCTTTTAAAAGCAAAATGTCTAATATTCTTAGCAAAAACAAAACAAAGCAGAGCATCTGCACTAGTAATTTTAGCTAAAGAGAATTTAGAAGGGCAATAAATGGCATGTTTCCCCACAACATAACACATTTTCAAACATTTTATCTACTGGTTCCATGCTGCTATATCTGCTTTCATAGAGGAACTATTGATAAACTTCCAAGAATCCCCCAGGGTTCCTATAACTTTTTAAAACTATTGACTTTAGACAAGTTCCATCTATTTTTTTATGTCCTTCCTACATACATTCCCCCAAAACCCCAAATTGGGAGCAGAGCCTTTAGTAATAGCCTTTTTAAAAATCCTATATTTAAAGCTTTCCTGTTTTCTTTAAGATGCTGCTACCCACCTTGAGCCATTGAAAGACTTGATGTCAGTTTCTAACACACATGTGGCCATATCTGACAGCCTGAGCACAATGTCTAAAGGATTTGGATGGGGTCCCTAGGCTGGCCATCTCTCCTAACCAAGTTATAACTACAAGCATAAGATATAAGGTAAACATACACCACTGAGCAAAATCCTTAATTACAGTATAGTATTCTACACTCAACACAAAGCTACACAGGCACTGAAATATTTGCAAGAGCATGACAAGATGTATTTTCAACTAACCCTCTGCTTGAAGCCATGGCCTCAAAACTGACTGACACAGGAAGGAGAGAGCCTCTTCGGAAAGAAAACAGAGATGTTGTTGTGCGGGGTCCAGAGAGGGATAAGCCAAGCACTTAATCGGCTCAGGAGTTAAACACATTCTGCAGAGAATCAGCATCCACAGAGCCTGCCAGCCCTTCCCCCACAGGCCACAACTCACTGGGGGTCTCTTAATCCCCCACCCCACCCCCTAAACCATCAGATGCATCGGCTCCACCAACACCCTGAATGGCTTGGCAAAATTGTGTAGCTGAAACTGCATCCAAGGTGCAAAAGTGAGGTAGAAAACTGGCAAACAGATTTTTTTTAAGTGAGTAGTCTTTTCAGAATGATGTGGCTTCCCTATTTATACTATGGGTACAAAATCCACATTGGTTAATCCTTATCACCTCCTGATCCCATGTTCACAATCAAGAATGTGGATTAGAAGCCTCCCTTCCGCCACAAACACACATTGGAAGGATGGAAGGATATCAGGCTTTTCATCACCCTGATTCTAACAGGAATTGGAACCACACTCTTCCCACAAGGAACCCAGGAGTCCTGCTCCCAAGCCTTCCTCCCATTTCCCATCCTCTAGCAGTCCACCCCACCTTAGCTTTTTTCAGAGTAAGGGTTCATCCAGGAAACACGCACTCAACACTACCACCCCCATCTGCTTAGCATGCTAGTGCCCTATTAAAAAGGGGGGCACACTTCTGTATTCTCTAAATCGGCCTTCATCAGCCATGTGCCATCAGCCCTAGGCAACATAGCCAGTAGCTGGGGATCATTGGATTTGTAATCCAAGACATTTGGAGGAGGAGTTTCAGCTTGAGGAAGGCTACTCTCAATGAATCTGTAATACACACTACAGCTCCTCTGCTCCACACAATTTTGGCAATCCACATTTCACACATAAGCATGAGCTGAAAAGGAGGTAGAAAAATCCTTGCTTTAACAACTCTAGCAGCTAAAGTATGAGAACATTCTCATCCATCCCCCCACCACTAAATCCTAAGATGACGTGCCTTCACAGATCTTTCTCTAACTGAATTCATCTTTTGCAGCTGCAAGCAAGGGGACCTCAAACAAGCAGCATAGCTGCATAAAAGCAAGCCTATAAACATAGGGAATGAAGCAGATTCTGGGTTCAAATCCACTTTATTTAAACATTTATATGCCACCTATTTTGCCCATGGCATCTCCAGGCAGCTAACAACAGATAATTAAAATATGTTATAAAACAACAGAACAAAACAATGGTGTAAGTTAATACAAAACTGGATAAAATTAACAATTAACAATCCCACATGGGCTTGGGCAATTCATAGGTTCTCCTCTTCAACTCCTGTATGAAATGGGAAGACTGTGGACTACCTCAGTCACCTGATTGAAAGCATGAAGACCGTGAGATGTAGTGGAAAGAATATTGGCCTTCTAGATTCAGGAAGATCTAGATTCAGTCTTGTTCATCCACGAAGCTAACAGGATGGTCCTGGGCCAATCACCACTTCTTACTCTAACCTACCTCAAAGGGTTGTTGTGAGCATCCAAGCGGTTCCTAGGACCGTATGTCCCATTCTGAGCTCCCGAGAGGAAGCGTGGGGTATAATAAACCATGGCTGAGGACCATTTGGCTCAAACATTATACAGAAACAATTATAACTGCAGACACAACCTCTGCAGACAGCCGATTCTCCACCGCAGACTGGGATGTTCATTCAGAGCCAACCCTGCAAAGTCTTGGAAGCAGTCATGTGCACACGCAACGTACAAAAGCACTTCCCCCTTGACTTCTCTCCCAGCTTTCCTCCCCAAAGCAGCTTTTTGCATTCTCCCCGTTTTTCTCCCCTCGATCACTCGCAGCCGCATCTCCCTGCGCCTAGCTCGGATCAAGCGTCCCTCTGCCTCACTCACCGCTTCTTTCCAGCAGACCCCAATGCACAAAGCCCCGCTGCAGACGCGCTGCAACCCTGCAGAGGAAAATCCCCCCTTATTAAAATTCAAATCCCAAGTTTTGATCTTGGGAAGAGGAGGAGCAGGAAGGTGCCCTGGGCTAATGCATCCCCCCTATCTAGTCGTCGGGCTTCCTGGGCCTCTCTAGGGCTGAGAGCTCACACTTGGTTTAACCCTTGCCGCGTCCCAGTCCCGGGCGAAAGTGTCCTCCTCGCTTGCGGAGCTTGGCAGGAGAAATTAAACGCAACATGAAATAAATGCTGAACTTCCTTCCTTCCAGGGTCGGGGACACAGCCTTTCAGATGAAAGCAGCACAGACAAGACGTGTGTGTGTGTGTGTGTGTGTGTGTGTGAGGGAGGGGGGGAGGGAATCTAATGTTATGGCGCTTGTTCACACGTGACGATAGTAGCCGTGGAAAGATACGGAGCGATGTTTGAAGATGTGTTATAAAGTAACCATGAGCGGAATCAACAATCGGCGCGTCCTTCGCCTGGGAGAAGTCACAGGCACCTCCGCTTTAAAGATGGGCAGGAAGACATTCAACAGGTGCATCCTTTCCCCCACTTGCCTGACACGTCGCTGCTAAGCTCCAATGTGGGGGCGAAGAGAGTGGCACCTTTGCTTTCATCTAATAGCTACCCTCAGTGTCCGTACTTTCCTCACTTAGGCTGAGATACTGAACATACTTACTGAAATATTTATCTTTCCCATCCTGATACCCTCAGATGTTGGGTTTCAGTGCCCATCAAATCCAAGCAATGTAGTCAATGCCAGCGGTGTAGTGAACTACTGTCTAAAATTGTAAACTGAAGTGCACCAGGTGGGAAAAGGCTGTGCTAGAGCATTTACCCTTTTGCACTGCAAGGAGCTTTCTTTTCTCAATAAACACACTTAACAATTGCACTGTCAGATGCACAGTGATGGACAGCTAAATACCACCGCTACCCTCCAAAAAGAAAACGTATCTGAATAAAATAGGAGGGCTTTCTCTGTGGTGGCACCCCGCCTATGGAATGCACTCCCCAGAGAGGTCTGCCTGGTGCTGTCGTTATTTGTTTTTCGGCGCCAGGTTAAGACCTTTTTATTCCAACAATATTTTAATAACTTTTAATATTGGTTTATATATGTTTTTAACCACAGCCAGGGTGGATCTGAAATTCATTTGTATTATGTTTTATAATATTTTATTTATGTAAGCCATCCTGAGGCCTTCATGACAGGACGGCATATAAATATTCTAAATAAATAATAAATAAATAAAATGTTGGTTCTGGTGCTCTCCCTTCATGTTTTTTTCAGATCTTTTAGATAAGGTGATATAGGGGTAGAGAAACATGAAAAACACAAGTTCTTGGAGAAAGGGAGCAAAGGAGACATTTTTTCTGCCCCTTAATGGTTAAAATGTTATGCTGCACAAAGGCAGTAACTTCTTAGTGGTGACTCCCCAATTACGGAATGAACTTCACAGCAAGGCCTGGCCTGGAGCCAGCATTGTTTTTTCAGTGCCTGGTTAAGATCTGTCTCTACCCTCTGGCATTTAACAACATATGATAAGGTTTTTAATCAGATCATGGGACTTTTTATTGCTAAAATTGTGTGTATGTGTTGTCTGTTTATACGTTTGCATGCAAATAAGTTTTTTATATTATGCACAATGCTGTATTTTAAATATTTTCAGTCTTTATAAACTCACCAGAGAACTTTAGCTAAGGGGAAATATAGATTTCTAATACATCAAATGAAATGAGTAAAGCAATTGAAAAAAAATGGCTCTGAATGTGTTTTAACAATCAGGTACTACTAATCTTTAATAATGATTTTTACTGAGTTTGTGCTGTAAAATAAGAGAGCTCCTGGACCTCACTCCAGGCTTATTTAATCCAGCATGCTCTTCTTAATGTGACCAGCCAGATGTTTCAGGAAACAGCCCTCCCAGCAATTGACATTCTGAGATCTACTGCCTCTGAACATGGAGGCTCCATTTAGTATTTAGTTCTCATGTGTAATATCAATGGGCAAATCTCTCATGAATTTGTACAATCTCATTCTAAAAATGCATGTGCTTGTTGCCACTACTGCCTCTTGTGCCAGATAAATCTTTCACTGCACAAGATGAAGTTTATTTTGTACAACCTAAATCTCCTGCCACTTTCATTTTAGAAAGTTTATTTATTTTGATTTATATCCTGCCTTTTTCCTACAACAAGGCAGCTTACATCATTCTCCTCCCCCACAACAACAACCCTGTGAGGTAGGTTGGACTGAGAGTCTGTGACTGGCCCAAAGTCACCCAGTTGGCTTCCGTGGCTGAGTGGGGACTAGAACCCGGATTGTCTGAGTCCCAGTCCCATGCTCTTAACCGCTAGACCACACTGGCTCTCCAGTGTGTTCTCTCATAGACCACCTCTTTTGTCATCTTTTTTCTCAACATCTTCTCACAGCTTTGGTTGCCTCTTTCTATACTTTTTCTAGCTCTGCAATGTAGATGAAATCTCCAGAACTTTACACAGTATCCCAGATGTGGCTCCATCCTATAAACCTTAAAACCTTCAACACATTCATTCAACCCAACCCTGTAGAGAATGGATTATTGCCATTTTATGAGTAGAGGAACTGAAGCCAAGTGTAGACTTGTGCAGGTCAGACAGTGGGAAGAAGTGAAACTTACACATAAGACTGCAATCCTGTGCATTTTTACTTGGGAAAATCCCAAATGTGAGAGACATCTGAATAAATATTCATAGGAACACCCTGCAAATATCCCAGACGCCATTCTAGTGGCCAGTTTATACAACTAACAGAAGCAGCTGTTCATTTTGTTTAGCACATTGAAAAGAAACAAGCTTGCCAAAAGGAAAAAGGATTGTGTGAATGGACACATCCACATTGTCTTCACATTCTATACTGTGTCAAAGCAGCAGTGGAATTTCTCCTAGACCAGATTATAGAGAGTTAAATGTGGAAAGCTTTCTGGGTCCTAGAGCCATCCAGTTCCCATAGAGAAAGGGGGAAGGAATTAGGTAGGGAGCTTCCTCTCTTTCAGAATCTGCTCTGTTTTTTCCAGCAAGCAGAAAGCGGCAGATCTTGAGGTATTAGGATGCCTCAAGCCCACCAAAGCAGCAGAGGTGAGTTAGGGGACAATTCTGCAGATGGAGGCTTGCAATTTTAGGGATGTTCTGGAAGCTGTGGGCATGTTTTATGGACTGAAAGAAAAGATGAGTGTTCTGTTTTAAGGCAGGCTCATTACATGCTGAGGAGGACTGATCATCAGCATGTGCAAGGGAAAAATCACTCAAATAACAGGACATGCTCCACATGAGGAAGTAGCTAGTATTAATATTCCTACAAATGAACCATTGGAGGTAGGTCTCATTGGCTCCTATTTTACTGCTACAGAGAAATGAGGATGTATTTGTCCTTGCAGGTTTGTCACAGGGTTACCATGAACAACATTACTTTGAATGTGTGCAACAGCCTATCTCAAGCAGATCAGCACTGACAGATTTATATCATTTCCCAAGGAGGTTGTTCAAATGTCTGCTTTCAATTTCTAAGTTATGCACATGATTATTTTGTTAATATCTCAGAAGGAAGGTTCACTGAGTTCATTAACACTTACAGGTATGTGTATATAGGAATTTGGCCTGACTGAAGTACATCCATTTGTGAATCCACTTTGAGGCTGAGACACAATTTGTAATTTGCTGTATGTGCAAATAGCTTCCCACATGAGTAGTCTACCTGTAGTGAGCAACCCCCCCTCCCCCGGGGGGAGAACACTTTGTCAAGCAAGGAGGAGAATCTGTGTCTTACTAGGTCCTCTTTCTCTCCCTTTAGGGAAAAATACCAAGCTACTTACATAGTTTGGCTGTGCTCTGTATCCCTTCTTGGGTTTTGAAGCCTGAATGCCTTGTTTTCCGCACCATTGATGACAAGCCCCAACCTAGCTCACTTCATCTTTTGAAGGCAGTGCTGCCAGTTCTGGTGTGGGAGATGTGGACTTGAACTGTACCAAGGCCAATGCCAGGGAGATAAAATGGCTGTAATCCAAGAGGAGTGATAACACTGATTCTTCAGCTGCTTTGTGAGCAACCTAGGGAAGAATGGAAGAAACAAGCCCAACACATCCTGAACCAGGGGAAGGGTCAGGGCTAGGAAAATCTTCTCGGGCCATTCAGGCTGGAGCCATCACTGAGTTCCTGAGGTGGGCCTCACCGCAGCATGGTAGGTTTGAGAGACAGGATGGGATGCCACCACATGGAGAAGCCCAGTGGCAAGAAATTCTCAGAACTGTGCAGTCTTCTCATTCAGGATGGGCAACTTCTCAAATGCCAGAGCTGCCTCCATGGGATGACTTGTCCACATTTGAGCAGGTGGCAAATGCCTGCCAGTGGCCCCGGGGAGAAAGCATGACCAAAATTGTGCCAAATCTTAGTAGAGAAGCACAGCAGGCCTTTAACAGCCTCGAAGCTAGAGATAGGGGAGAGCATGGGAAGATGAAGGTGGCCATTTTACGGGGGGGCATTGTAAGCATGGAGACACACCGCCGGCAATTCCGCCAATTCTGCTACCAGGAGACCGAAGGACCCCGTGAAGCGTGCGGCCGTTTGCGGGAACTGTGTCATCGTTGGTTGGAGCCAGAGAGCAGGACAAAGGAACAGATCCTGGAGCTCCTCATCCTGGAGCAGTTCTTGTCCATCCTGCCCAAGGAAATCCAAAACCAGGTTCAGGAACGGGGGCCGGAGACCTGTGCCCAAGCTGTGGCCCTGGCAGAGGGTTTTCTGCTCAGGCAGCAAGAAGGGGGGAAGCAGGAGCAACAGGTGAGGTTATTTCTTCATGATCATCTTGGAGGATGGAGGCAGGACTGAAGGTTGTTCCACAACTCTTCAGGGCTCCATCTCGGAAAACATCCAAGAACTTAGTGGTAGCATGTACACACAAACATATATACTTTCTAATTTCTTAAAATAGATCTGCTTCAATTACACATTCTCTTCCCCACCAAAATGCACCTGTGAGATGTACCTTTCCCAGCCATGGGCAAAGGGAGGTAGCAGTGGCAAGCTATTTGACTGGGACATCATTCCTCCCATCCCCCAATCTACCTCCTATGCCTAAAGGTCACATCTCTGATATAGATTACCTATAATCTCAGAAGCAGGATTGGTGGTAGTTATGTGGCACTGTCAACAAAATGCACTGTCCACATAAGAAGCAGCAAGTCCTTGCATATCACAGAATGAAACCCTGGAAACAGATGCCAGATCTCAAAGGGAAGGGACACATTTTCCCTTTGTGGTGTCTGAGTGACTCAGAGGAATGGTGCCTCCTCATTTTAGCTGATGCTAAGGAACAATCCAGAGGCTGTAAGAGAAGCACATTTCATGGTTGCCAAGCAACAGTCCATGCTCTTTCCCAAGAAAGTTTGCCCACAGTTGCCCATCAACTGCTCCCATGACTTTTCCAGTTCTCCCACAGTTATCAAGGACGCAAAAGTCTTTTGCCCCATTCTGCTATAAGAAAGTAGTAAGGTGGACAAAGCAAAGAACAAATAAGACAACTTCAAGAATGGCTCTTTATCAAAGACAATTAAAAAACACATAATTCAACAGAAGCTTTAAAAACTGATTAACATGCCATAAAAATTAACAACTTAAATACACATCTCTTCTTTTAAAAATAGCTACAATTAGAAAGAACCTCTTACAGACTTAATACACAAAACATCCATGTTTCCTACTGAATGAATTGCATGCCTCAATCTCAGCTATCACTAGTTTACCACCTATTGTGCTCTTCATGTGCAAATATTGCTGCATTTTTTTAAAAAATGCAGTCATACTTGCACATGTATACATGTGTACATTTGCATGGGTGCAAAATAGGAACCTCCCCTAGACAATATCCTGGGAACTGTGTGCTACCAAAGTAAAGCAGACACCAGCCGTACATACGGATTCCAGAAAGCTGCAAATAGGCTTATAGTTTACTTCACACTGTCCCATTTCTTTTCCTTTCTTTCCTAAGATTATGGTGCTCAGGAAGACAGAAAAGTCCAAGCCACTCCTTTTACAAGACGATGGAGTTTTGACAAACCTTGGACTTCCTGAATGGAGTTTTTGACAGGGTTAATCAGATATATATGTCCCTGTCAAAAAAACCCTGGGTCTCAAAACCCTCTTGTGAAAGGATAGTTCACACTTTTCCACTTTCCTGGGCACCCAGAGTATCAAGAAAGGGTGGAAACAAAACAAGGAACTGAGAAGAGTCAGTCCTGCCAAATAAATTAGAGGATCTCACTGTAAAGTGGATGATCTACTCATTTTCCTCTTTCATGAGCAAAGATCACTTGATAGTTCACCTTCTGAGAACTGTCAGGCGAGTGTGAAATTTTTTTCCTATGTGCAGCCTCTCTGGTCAATGGGCTATTAACAACATTCCCAGCCCTAAACAGCTTGGGACTAGGTTATCTGAAGGAATGCCTCATCCCATATGTACCTCCCCAGTCTCTGAGATCTTTTATGGGGGTCATTCTGTGGGAGCCCCTTCCAAAGGAAATGAGGCAGGTGACTACTAGGAAGATGGCCTTTTCTCTTGTGGTACCCCGACTGTGGAATGAGCTTCCCAAAAGGGGATGCCTGGTGCCTACTTTATATTCTTTTTGGTGCCCAGTTAAAACCTTTTCCCAAGCATTTTAACAGTTTAACATTGAAACTTGGGTTATAATGTTGCATTTTATCCTGAACTACTGCTATAAACAAAATCATAAAAGTATCTGCACACAGTTGGAGCACAAAACACTTTTTTTAAAGATGGTGAAACAATGATAGCCACACCAATGTGCTGCTTGGGTACTTCGGAGGGCTATTGCTGCCTGTCATTCGGGGATCATGAACAGTGATAAGCCTAGTATTAGGCTCATATACCAGTGCCATGGCCAATTTTCCAAAATGTCCATTTCTGGATGTTTTTATGCACAGCTTATTCTTTTTATCCAGTCCAGGCACTTTCCAAGCATTGGTATGTCCAGGGGGACTCTTGTTTCCTTAACCTTAACCCTAGCCAGGACCTTACTCCTAGCATAAGGCTCAACCACCAGTGCTATAACCAGATTTCCAAAATGTCAGCTTTGTAGGGGGGTTTTTCCTGCACAGTTCATTCTTTCTACCTAATTCAAACACATTCTAAGCCTCAATATATTAAGGGGTTCTCTCATTTTATTAACCCTAACCTGGACCTTACCTGCAACCCTTACCTGCATATAGGGCTGAAATACCACTGCCATAGATGAATTTCCCAAATGTCAGCTTTGTAGGGATTTCTCTGTACATCACATTCTTTCTGCCCAGTCCAAATACATTCCAAACCTCAATATGTTCAGGGAGACCTTCGGTTTCTTAACCCTAACCCTAGCCAGGGCTTTAGCCCAAACCCTAGTATTGGACTAAGCAACTGGAGCACAATGCCACAGATGTTTGCCCCATTGTGCTGCTTTGGGGCAGCTGTCACGTGCAGTGGCCTGGTGAGCTCAGTTTTTTCTGCTGTTACCAAGAGTTGGTTGCCCAGATACAGATTACATAACCAACCCCTTGCATAAGTCCAACAACCTCTAATATAAGCCATGGGTTGTCAGGTGGTTTACTGCCTGCAAATAAAACATCCTGTGGGAACAGGCCTGGTTTACAGAACACAGAAACTTTCCATGGTCTATTACACATGATGGGTTGCTGTGCCATGCAAACCCAGTCAATGCCTTTCTCAATGGATAAGCATCCATCCCCCATTTAACTCCAACAGAGTCATCTGTTCATTCAGGGAGTGCACTGTAAAACAGAAAGGGAGAGCAAGATGAATCTTTCTAGCTCCTTGTCTACCATGTTCTCCCATCAATGTAATTGCTGCTCCTTTTTCAGGTAATGGGAGCAACCCAAGCAGGGGGAGCAAATTGTTCTGAGACTCAGCGGCCTCCAGGCAATACCAGGTCAAGGCAAAGCTACAAAGAAACCCGGCAGCAGGATAATGGGAATGCCAGCTCTCTGGGTAAGGATGGGATTGCCATATATTTTGCCATTCTCTAACCTCATCCCCCTCCAATCCTCTCACTATTAAGCATGTCTCACTCAAGTGTGGTCTCTTTTCAAATGCTCCTCACATTTTTCTGCAAACTCAGCCCACCTGATCTGAAATAACTTGATCTCTGGGTGGAAGTTTTAATGGGGGGGGGGGGGTATTCTTTTTTTTTTTTTTAAAGACTTGTCATCCTTTTAAAGATCTTGTAGGTGAAAGGAGCACACTTGGAGACTGCAAGAAGTTTATGTTTCAATGGATTGTACAATCAGATGGATTGTACAATCAGAGACAATTGCTTAAGACACACTCTGACTCAAGACAGCACAGTTTGCTCTTATTTGAATAACTAATACAGCAGTGTAAGAAAATTCCTTATACTGAGTCCATTGGTCCATCTAGCCCAGATCTTCAAAGTCTTAGCTAGAGAATTTTCCTTCCCAGCTAGCCTGAGCTCTTTGTAACTGGTGATACTGGGAAATAAACCTGGAACACTTTGCATTCGTGGCATGTGTCCCTTAGGATTACAGCACTGCACTTCAACCAGGTACCCTCCAGATGGGTTAGACTTTACATCATCCTCAGCAAGCAAGGGCATAGTTTCTTCCCCCTCCAAATCTGGCACTTGCTTTCTAAGGTGCCATGCCTTATTCTCAAGCAGCTGTTGGATCTTTTGTGATACCTGAGCTGATAAAGTGGCAAGTGAGGCATTTGGGGTGCATTGAGAAAACCCCACAGTTCAGAAGTGCAAACATCTCCTGAATGCTGAAGGTAGTATAAGCTAACAAAGGCCCTCCATCTGGAGTATCTCCTGTAGAAATAAAGCCGGTTAACTTGTTTGCAGTCAGTGGAGAGTCACTGTCAGTCACAGCTGGGTGGGCCAAAGGCTGTCTCAGCAGAAAGCAGCCTGATATGTTAATCAATAAGGGAGCCAACACAACCCATGCTAATGAAGTGTGATTTGTTTAAGGGTGCAATCTTGTGAATGTTTACACAAAACAAATTCCTGCAACTCCCCAGCCAGCCATGGTTCATTGGGCAATTGTGGGAATGGTAGGACTTTGTTCTGTCTAAATATGCACCAAATGTATTCAAAAGCTATATACATGTATATAATTGATTGGGATTATGCACGAACATTGTCTTTGGGAGGATAAATCAGAATTGATATGGAAGTGAAACCATGCTCAAGGAAGCTTGTTTTAGAGTCTGGAGGGGTGGAGGGAAAAGGTCTTTACAGATGAGACAGTTGGAAAGTGACAGATCACAGTTGCTAAAGGTTGTGATTGATGATTAGGCATTCAGACAGAAAGAGATATTTATGTTAAATGAAAAGCAATACCACATATAAGATTAAAGAAACAGAGTAATATGCCCAAAATGTGCATATGCCCAAAATATACAACAGACGAAGGTTTTCTTTAAAGGATTTATTCTGGAGAATAATCGGCAAGCAACAAATAGTTCCAGATGGCATCCCTGAGCAGTCCTCAGTTGGTCCTTTTATACATAGGCCATTAAAGGGTTACACATAATACAGTTACCACTTGAGGTAAAAAGTTACAATGGTGTGATCTTTCCCACTTGCATACCAAAGAAGGAGTGGGAGGATGCCTGCTATTATGTAGAAGAGGAGGAGAACGGGGTGGTTTTGTTGTGAGTTGCCTTTTGTCTGAGCTGCTGTTATCTGTCCAGTGCCAATTAGCTTTCTCTGGAAGGGTGCCTGGTTAGTGTCAGCTACATTTCAAGGATGCATGATGCTGATTTCTTGAAAAGAGGGTTTTTCTCAGGCCTAGTTATATCTCAATGATTGTCTGATTATACCTGTGTAAGTTATACCTGTTCATTTGTCCATCAGTTCTTCCACAACCGCTGCAGTGGGAAAGAGGGAGATTAGAGGATGGGTTCCCAGCCCTAAGATGAAAGCTTTGTTTCTCACCTTGGAGGAGCAGCAGCAGTAGAAACACTCTCTCCAAAATGTGGTGAATTTGTGATGGCATTTCCAGAAATATAGTCCCAAGAAAACTGCAGAGTGATGACCTAGATCAACCATCTAACTGGTTTAAGGACTTATTTTCATTTTGCCATATCCAGTCAATAGGGACTTGCCAGATACCTATCAGGCAGTGGGGTGAAGCAGTGAGTTGGTGTGCTTCTGTGGCCCACCTGTGAGCTGGGAATCTCATCCTTATTGAAAGGCTGTTTGTCAGTCCAACTTTAATTTTATGCAGTAATTTGCCACAGTTTTAGTAGTATTTTTTCCATATTAAATCTTGTGGATATTTTTAGTTATGCAATGCTGGCTAAGTATACTTGGACCTCAAGTAGAATGCAGTGTTTTGCTAGGGTTCCTTTTTTTTTGGACCCACAGAATCACATCTTGCCTTTCTTTCCCACTCAATAGGTGCCAAGTTTTTGGGAAGAGCTGGACAGTATTTCCAGTGTCCAGACTGTGGGAAAAGGTTTAGGGGAGAGGAAGAGCTCCGAGCTCATGGTGGCATCCACAGGAAGGACAGACCCCATGCCTGTGCTCAATGTGGGAAAAGATTCACCCGTCCATCAGGCCTAGCCAAACATCTGAAGACTCATTCTGGAGAGAAACCCTATCACTGTGGCCAGTGCCCAAAAAGTTTTATTCAGATGTCACACCTCACCAGGCATCAGAGAATACACACTGGGGAGAAGCCCCACCCCTGTGCCGAATGTGGGAAGCGCTTCAACTGCCCATCAGACCTGGCCAAACACCAGCACATCCACACTGGAGAGAAACCTTTCCGCTGTTCTGAGTGCGGGGCAAGATTTAACCAGTTCTCACACCTTACAAGGCATCAGAGAATCCACACAGGAGAGAAACCTCATGCCTGTACTGAATGTGGGGAAACCTTTAGTCAGCGGGCACATCTTATCAGCCACCAGAGAATTCACACAGGGGAGAGACCCTATCGTTGCACCTATTGTCAGAAATGCTTCAGTCACCTCTCAGCTCTTACAGTTCACAAGAGGATCCACATGGGCCAAAGGCCCTACGGCTGTCCTGAATGTGGGAAGAGGTTCATTGCTTCATCTGCTCTAACAAGGCACCAGAGGACCCACTCAGAAGAAAGACCCCATACCTGTGATGAATGTGGCAGGCGATTCAATCAGCTCTCTCACCTTCACAGGCACCGACGGACCCACTCAGGTGAGAGGCCCCACAGTTGTGCCGAATGTGGGAAAAGATTCAATCAACTTTCCTCTCTCACCAGGCACCAGAAAATCCACACAGGAGAAAAGCCGTATCCCTGTGATGAGTGTGAGAGGAGGTTCATTCGGCTGGCTGACCTCATCATCCACCAGAGAATCCACACAGGAGAAAAACCGTATCGCTGCACGGTCTGTGGGAAGAGGTTCAGGCAGAGACAAACGCTGGTCAAGCATCAGAGACTTCATCCTATAGGAAATTCATAAAATATATATAGAAAACAAAGCAAAACATTGCTACCTTTGGGTTTGTATCCAGGAAATGGATATTCTAAAACAAAATTTAAATGGGTGGAGAGAGGGGTTTAATTCAAATATTCCACTTCTTTTCTGTCACCTTATCTATTTACTCCTAAAAAGGGAATAGACCTCCTCCTCCTCCTCTAACATGGAGGATCTTCCAGTAGAATATTATTTTCTACACTTGGAAAGGTCACACTTTTCCCTCCTATCCCCAAACTTACTTTCTTGTTTATATTCTGCAGTGTCCAAAACATGAATTTTGGTAGGTTATTGTACTAGATAAGGAACTGGGATGAAGAGGCTTCCCTCTGCTGACTTCTCTAATCAGATCAAAGATATGTTGTTGTCATGATGAAGATCAGTTAGGATTGGGAAGGATGCAGAAGAGTTGGGGAAATGGAGGGGCAGAGTTCCTTGAGCTGACCTCTGTGTTGCTTTTTTATACCAAGAGGGGCTTTTTGTTTGCTTTCTTCATGTTGTCCCTTGAGTTTGTCCCCTCCCCAATAAATACTGTGTGTGGGAGTGGGGCAGGTAACAATCTATTTCAGTTTCTGCTTTTTTGAAGCCCAATTCACAAATATCGGTAACCTATGGGTTTTGAGAGCCCCGTGGCATCAAGTGAGCAAGCTCACAGGCTAATCAGCTGCTTTCCACCTACTTTCATCATCTCCTTTCCATCTAGTTTAGAAAACTTGCTGACACAAGCCATGGGTGAAGACTCTGGATTGTCTGCCACATTATTCTGGGTTCAGAGAAATAACAGCAAGCAAAACAGAATGTTCCTATATTGTTTGCCAAACTGAATGTGAAATGGAAGCACTGAGGAGGCAGGAGGCATCTTGCCCCCACATAGCCCCAGCCAAATGTGGCTTTGTTACATGGGGATCAGGTTGATTTCAGGCAAATCATTTCCTTGCCTCAGATTGAACTTATAAACGTATTTTATGTTGGGGTTTGAACCTCTAGTTTATGGTCCACATGTGGCCTGGCTGGTGTCCCAGTCTGTCACTCCATGCCCCTCCCCTCTGATAACCCATCACTTGGAGGCTTCTGTACACTTTCTCCTTCTAAGGTTTGCATACCTCTTCTATGACCAAGTTATTGACAGCAAGAATTTTAAAGTAAAATATGTTGGTGTGTTGGCCTTGGCCTTTTTGTCTTCACTGCTACCTGTACCCACTGGAATACAGTGCCTAAAACTGACTTTGGCCTTTGGGCTGAAAATGATTTGGCACCTTGTTTTATGTACTTCTCTGAAAGTAAAAAAAGCTCATACACCACAGCTGTGGCTCTGTGGAGGGAGTTATTATTCTCACTCTTCCACAGTGGGAGATTGAAACAAAGGGATATGCCTGGGCCATATATTGTGGACCTGGAAGCTGAATCAGGGTATCCCCTAAAGTGGCTAACTGTATATACTGGCGTATGCTGGCACTCATTTCTTGGCACTCATCACAGACTTAGCCTGTCAGCAGAAGTAAATGTGGAAAAAAGAAAGAAAAATATGTTACCTTCAGTAACAGTGTTGTTCACTCCCATCTTGAATGGGTTTGGCTTTCCAGTCCTATATTTATTCAAGACTATATTATCCCCATTTTCCAGATGAGGAAGTCTGCCTGAGAAAAAATGACTTTCTCTAGGCCCATCTTCTGAGGCATGAGAGATGCATAGCTTGAACCCAAGTCACTTTTGCTTTTTCAGCCATCCTACTTAAGTCGTTGTGGGTTTGGTTTGGCTTGGTTATGAGTAGTCAAAGTAGAATTAATTCTCTTTCCTATGTTGTCTCTTTCTGGTTTCCACCCCCTTTACTCCTAAGCTTGACAACTAAAGACAGAAGCATGGAATTCTCACACAGTAAAAAGCCAAGCATCCTCCAGGTTGTGGAGATGAAATCACAAGTGACATGTGCTTACTTTTCTTGAAGCAGCTGGTGTCTCTCAAGAGTTATCTCTTGCAGAGTCTGATCACCTACAGGTCTCAAATCCATCTCTCAAAGATAACTTCAGTTTTGAAGGTCCAGTGCCAAGTCCAAAGCAAATTTTCTACCACTGCCCTTCCTAATCTCTCTCATCCTTCAATCTGCCCTTGTATTTGGCTTCGAGGGTAGAGCAGAACCTCTTTTATAGGATGAGGAAGGGACAGTTGTAGAAAAAGAAGTGAAGGATCACATCCTGTTGTGGTTCTTGCTGACGGTGCTAGCAATGAGGTGAAGAGAAACTTGGGGGAAAAATCTGCCAGCTGACCACAAAAATTTCACTTCCCAGCAGTTTCTAAAATCTCTTGGTGAAAATAATATGGTGAGAGAGAAAGTTGAAGTGAGGAGAAGATATTCCTTTATTCTTTTGACATTAGAAATTGAGAGCTTGGCTGGGCTGCATTTCTAGTGAAAATCTACTAAATAACCCCTCGGGAACCAAGTACCTGAAAGGTCAGCAGTTTTGTATAAGAGATTCTTTCAAGGTTCTTTTTTCTGCTTGATTCTGCATCTTTCTCCTACTCTTTCAACCTCAGTAACTTATTTGACAGGTGTTCCTAGTGGAAAATGGTATATCTGGGTACCTTTCTAACTTAAGAAGGCTGAATTGCAGATGGCAAGTGGGGGACCCAACAATAAAGAGAGTTCTAACTTTTTCAATTCATTTTAACAAAAAGTTCTTTCTTGAATATGCACTTACTTCCCCAGCAGTAATCAGTGTGCATTGCTGATGAATCCACGATTATATAATGATCTGTCAGGGAAACCATGGCAGCAGAGGGACTATAAATATTTACTGCACTGAGAAGATAATATGGGGTGTCCAGATTTTGTGCATTAGAAGGACAATATTAGACACCAAATATTTAATCTTTGCTATGGACATGCAGGACGTATTCTGAAGGAAAGCACATCAGATTTTAATGCCAGGCCTTGGCTTTGGAATATGTAATGGATTAACATGGAAAGTTGTGCCTCTGAGAATGTGCAGATTTCATTTTCCTTCAGCTCTGATTAATCACCTCAGTGCTGGTAGAACAAGAGGAAAAGGGCTTGCTGCATCAGACTAACGTCTATCCAGTGCAGGAATCATGTCCAGTCAGATGTCTTCAGACAGTAGCTTTCCTCTGCTTGACCAGGGTCATCTGCTGTGATTTAGCGTTTATTTCAGAGGATAGAATTTCCAGATATGTTTGAGGTCCTTTCCTGTTACAAATGAATAGTGGGAGTGTGGCGTGATTCTGGTTTTTGGGACGGTATGTGCTGTTTTAGATGAGAAAGTACTTCAATCTGAAATGCTTCTCTTCCACTTGACTCGCAAATCAACGAAGTGGCTGTCTACTTGTATGCCACACATAATTATGTTTGCTAAGGGGCTGGAGAAGGAAGGGATAAAGATCCAGAAGTTGGTTGATGGGGTACAAAGGGAAATAGGGACAAGCTGAAGTACTTTATGAGGGAAGGCTGTATAGTCAAGGAGTCACATGGAATTCAAGCTAAACATGAACGGGACTGCATGGGAACAATTAAGTAGCCTTGTGAGGGGTAAGACATTAATTACTTGCTGCATTTATGTGCTACACTTGATTAAAATACAACTTGTCTGACAAAGAAAATTGCTTGGAGTCCTCATGCTCTCTGTTTATACACAAACCCCCAAAATTCATTTCTGGTGTTTCACATGTGTGCATTCCCATTTCCTCCTTGCAGCACAAACAAAAAAAAAAGCCAGCTGTGAAAGGTGCCATCCTGAATAACTACAACCACTCCTGGTTGTATAATTAGAACCCAGGGATTGTGGAATAAGCTTTAAATGACCACATAGAAACAATGCCTTGTCTTAGGGGTTTCAAAAGTCGTTTAACTCTCACATGTCCCATAGTCCCTGAGTTCACATAGCATGTCAAGCCACAACTGAATTTTCAAGACAATCAGCACTAGCAGACACCACAAACCACCTGATCATGCAAACTAGTCCAATGTAAGGCAACTTCCTGTGTTCCTAGATGACTTTGCCTTTAAGCTTTTGGAAAATGGCTGCAGTTCTTTGAGTCTCAGGCAGGTGGTGCAACTGACTCAGTATACAGAAACTTATCTGCCTAATCTCATTTTGTTTGTTTTCCTTCTGGGCCTTTTGACAGTTGCAGCAGCTGTCTCGTTTGCTTCTCAGATGGTACAACACTTGAGTGTTAGATGCATATTCACAGATTTCAGTCTCAGCAGGGCTTACTTCATTTCAGATCCAAGACTGGCAACAGCTCTGTAACTTCAAAACATGGTTGGCCAAGGATATGCAAAGAATCTTTTTTTGATATACAGGGTGTCCCAAAAAAATTGACATCATTTCGTAGTCTAATAACATAGCCAATTCTCGCTCAAATGATCTCAAATTTTAACAAAATGTGTAAAAACTAACTGTTAGTTATGCAATGTTATGCAAGACATGCAACAGTGTGTTTGGCAGGAGGTGAACTATTGACTTGACGTGTGTTGTGTCACAGGCGGTGCGCATGTTGAACATTTGTGAAGCTTTGTGAAATTGGTTATAAAATCTACATCCCTTTGAATCTCTTGTTCAAATTTTGATAAATAAATATTTTATTGTTCAACATGAAGCCTATTTAATTTCGTTTGCCTAGGACATGTAGTTACTCAGATATTCACATTTCAAATAATGTCAAATTTTTTGGGACATCCTGTATATCCAGTTTCTGGACTATCTCTCCAAAGCAGTTTACCTGCATATTGCTAACCCAAACAGGGAAGCCAGTATGGTGCAAGGCTGGACCTGGACTTAGAAGAGGTGTATGTTCAGAGCTTCACTGGTCTAGGCACCACTTTTCAGCCATGACAACCTCTGTCATAGAGTTGTTGTGAAGATAACATTAGAGGAAAAAGACCACCTCCATTGCTCCATGTTCCTTGAAAGAAGGATGGGAGAGGAATGTAAAAAAATCAAATTGAACATTAATTCTTAATATTAAATTACATAATATGGAATTATTCTTTAAAACCGTTTCAAATTTAAGCAGCAGAAATATCTATACCCATTGTCTGCCTCCTAAAAGAGTCATTAAATGGATCTGTAAAATCTTCTTTGGAAACACTTTCTAACTTGTATTATTTATGCTCTTGTGTATTCAGCCACGTTCTGAAAGTAATTTTATTTTTAATATGGGCAAGCACGAATAATACTTTACAGAACGTTCTCCCAAACTTGCAAAAATTGCATAATGTTCAGGAATTCTTACAGTCACACTGTAAGCAAGTAATTCTTAAAGTCACATTACAAGAACACAGAAGGCAACCCCAATAATGCAGGCAGAGAGGCTGAAGCAGTGAGGAAATGGCTTGTCCAAGCAAGTTCATGGATGAACTGAAATTTAAACTGGGAATGTACAACATGCTCTGAATTACCACTGGGAGAGTCAGAGTCAATTAGTGATTGTAAATACTGTGATAGAGTACCAGAATACAAAAGCACAGCCTTCTGTATACACTGTTCAACACTCTTGGTTTGTCTCTATGCATGAAGCTAAACCTCCCAAAATACCAGCTAAGTGTTGATCCTCTTATTATTGAGCCAAGCTGAAGACCAGTAGAAGGCACCCTTGCCAAGGTAAGCAGTGCCCAAGTCTGCAGCTGTTGGCTGGGACTTCATTAGGCAGGAATGTGCCACCCACTGGTTGGATGGATTCCAGGACAGCAGAACTGATAGCTAAGGAGGATCAGTGTCATGGACTGGAACAATGAGCATCACAATGGGGCAAAATATCAGCCTGCCCTGGCCCAAGAAATGGAAGCTTCATGTCTAATCTGTGGCCATAGCAACGGAACAATCTTGCCTCTAAAAGAGCAAACATAAGTGTTCACAGGGAGGCAGTTGCTATGGTTGCAAGCCCCCTAACATAATGAGACCAAAGCATTCAGAAGTCAGCTGCATGAGAACACCTACCCCACCTAAAACAAAGTAGGGAGGAATGAGGCAATCTTAAACAGTACAATTCACAAAAGCTGTGCCTTTCCAAATTAATTGGGCACAGTGGTTTGGGTATGGCTCATGCACACAAGACAAAGCATGACTGGGGAGCACGGGGACTACAATGGCATAGCCCTGGAAAATCTTCACTTTCTGAATGTTGCTATAAGAGATATTAACGCACCACATGATACACACTTCTCCCTCCTACCTCCAATACCTGATGCAGCTGGAGAGGAAGAAAAATACCAAGAGCAGTCAAGTGAAGGAAGAGAAATGTTTCCTCCCCTTTCTGTTTATTGTAAAAGGCCTGCATCCCCACTTTACTGGTGAATGGGTTGGACATTAATGTCCTTGTCATGTCTACCTGGAGTTAGAGGTGCCACCAGCCCATTGAACCTGCAGCCTAAAGCACGTGCTTTGCTTTACCTCAGCGTAAGGCTGATCCTACTCTGGAGGTTTAAATGAGCCATGATTGTGCAGTGTACACAGCTAAGCATGGAAGTGCTCTGAGGGAAGCATGACCCGCCTCTTTCCAGCATTCATCCCAGACATCATTGCAATATAAACAGGAGTAATTAAAAGTCCAGCTCTGGACACCAGAACAAATTCTTCTCCACTCATCTCTTTCTCTGTTCTTTCCAAGAGTGCGAAAACATTTCAGTGAGTGACTCTCCATGGAAACCCAGGCCCCAAGCACAACAAACAGTGTGCTGTCCACCTGCCTGCTTAAGCCCCCACCCCACCCCAAAAGTTCTTATCCAGAGGCAGCTCACTGAGTTGTACATTAATAAGCCGTCATTGGCAGAAGTCAATCCACACGCTAGGCAAAGGCTGCCAAGGAACAAGGAAAGGTCAGGGCACATCCGTCTCATGCGCTGGGACATGATATCAACAGGCAGGAAAGGGGGCCTTGCCCGGTGTGAATGATCCCTGTGGAAACAGGTGGCACTTCTGCAAAAGGTTTGCTGCTAACGCACACCAGGTAAAGCTTCTCCGTTCTGAGCTTTGGGACTTCAGACTCCAGATCACTTAACAGCAAGTTAGTTATCACTTAACATGTTTTAGCCCCCACCCCAAATGGAATCTATAAAGAGCAGATTTTCCCACCACAAACATGTCAAAGCATGCTTATGATGAAGTGGGTGGCTTATTTGTGATTGAGATGATGATTCCAGGGTGAACACTTTCTCTAAATAAATTTACACAGAGTCAGAGTGCAAGGGAAACAATCATGGATCCATGACATTAGAACACAAGCACTGGAAAAGTTCTCTTGTATATTTGTTTAGGAATGTTTATGATAAACATTCAAGGCAGGTTATAAATATACGGCAGTTTTTAAAAAGCATAATAAAAATAAATGTTTTAGCTGTCAGCTAAAACAAAAACAAAAACAGGTTCTGACTGAAAGCATCCAACAAGACAAAAACAGTCTGAAGATTCTTTTCAAAGCAAGCAAAGGGGCTCTGGAAGAACCTCTATTGGAAGCTTATTCCAGAGTACAAGTGCTCTAACTGAAACGACTCCATCTACTGTCCCCAACCAACTTTTTCTTTGGCAAAGGGACAATGAGGCCAATTTCAGGAACTGTATGCAGATCTCAAGAAGGTTCATTGTGTGAAAGAAGGCAGTTCCATAGTCCCAAGTCACCTAAGCCCAAAATGTAAGATGCAAGTCCTTAGGATCGTGCAACAGAATGCAGGGAAAGCCTAGAAATTGCCTAGTGTGGATTTTTTCCTCATGCAATGCTAAGCTTCTCTCCTTCCCCCCAGCTAAGGAGCTCCAGTCAGTCCCCTTAAGCTAGCAGATTTACTGGTAAGGACTATCCATACAGATGTGCGCATTTTCTTCACACAGAACATGTAATGCCAAGGATAAGTATTTTGGTTGACCTCCCTGACATGGTTGTTTTCAGTGTGAATTTTTTTAAAAAAATGCTTGGTATGAAGGACATTTTTGCCACTTGAGGATTGCACCCTGAAGTTCTACAATCCAGACAGATGTGTACTACCTTAATGAAAACTAGGCAGCAGTTCTCGTAATGACTTCCATCTCCCCATCTCAATAGAGGTAGGCTATTCTTTTGGTGTTTTGGGCTTCAGCCATATATGAGTCTAGTGGCAGTGAAAAATCACTAACATGGAAGTGCTTTAGCAACACGACCCTTATGAACCACAGGTTGGTTTCAAGGCATTGTCAGTCTAACGAATAGTTCTCCACAGTGGCTACACTGAGAGATTTTGAAAATGACCGTTGTGCAGAGTTTTCCCCTTTGAAATCTGACACCTGAAAGAGGGATCCCATAGTATTGCAGGCCTTACTCTTCTGTCATGCACGATGCCCCCCTGGTAGAGCCCGACATTTGATGGACCATAGCTATTCCCAGTCTATGGAATGTGTCACACCTACCTGGAAAGGGAGGGATGGCTTGTACAGTACAAATTTAAGTTGTAATAACCAACATTGCTGAGGTTGCTCTGATGTTATGGGTAGCTAAATGAGGAAATCATAGAAACATAGAAACAGAGCAAGTCAGAAGGGGTCTCCCGGGCCATCTAGTCTGACCCCCTGGCTCCAGCCAGCTCCACACACGACATGTGCATGTCTAGCCTATCCTTGAAATCATTTTGCATAACAGAAAAGGAAGGCTTCTGGAACTATGAATCTGCTGCACAATTGCTCTTTCCCCTGGGCACATGGTAGAGTCAAAGGATTTTATTGTGTGAGGGCACAGGACCGATGGTATTTCAGGACTAGTCTGACCAACTTTGGTGCCAACTTGCTTGCTACCTGCTCAGCTTGCATATTTGTAAAGAAACAGGCATAAACCACAGTGTAACAGATCCTGTTACAGCTGTCTTGGAGGTTTGTACTCCTTGGCACAGTAAGCATGCACTGGTGTGGTATGAACCAGAAGAGGCAGAAGGTAGATCAAGATCTGCTGGTAGCGGCCTCTTTTGTGCTCTGACTGTTTCTGGTTTGAGGCTGCAGAATGTTGCCCTGCAAGATGTGAAAAGGGATGTCTTTTAGGAAACCTGTCTGGCCTAGAGTGACCAGTTCTCTTACTTGGGAGACAAAGTGCCTGTCATAAGGTAGTCCTCTGCTTGAAAGTGACCTCTGCTTGATGTGCTGCATGATCTGCTTGCTTAAAGTGAAAGCAACACAAGAAGGCAGAGAAGGGGCCCATTGATACTTAACACTTAGACAGCAGGCTGAGCTGACATACTGATCACCCACTCAGCCATTACCACTAGCACAATGCCTTGTATTTTGATGAGAAGTATAATAATCATTTCCAAATTTGCATCTATACATATACCTAGGCAAATGTTATGCAAATTTCTTTCTTCTTGTGCTGATTATGCATCTCTTCTTTTTGGTGAGGTGGGAGAGCCCACCCAACCTGACAGACTTGGTCCCACCCAGGTTCAGCCACTGGCCACTTAGAGAGAAGAAAGAAGCAGGAATTCTTTCCAGGAACATCTGGGACACATATACATAAGCATAAAAAGCAGCTGGGCAGGCAGAGGTAAAAATAACCCCAATAAGTGGCTGCTAATCCTGCTCCATGGAATTGCTTGGACTCTAGAGACCTGACCTTTTGGAGTGGAGTGGGGAAGGGTTGAGAGGGGTGGCTTGGCTTGCTTTCCTGTGTGTGTGGCTGGACTGAACCAGATGGGAAGTGCTTGCTATAAAAGGCTCCACGAGGATCTGCATGCAGCAGGTACCAAATAGACAGACAGGGTTGAACACTCAATCAACAACACACTCTTTCAAGGAAGAGACAAAGTGCTCCAGCCCCTGCTGCACCCTGGCAGCAGGTAAGCATCTGTCTTAAGCAAGGGAAGTTTTGATTCTTTTTGTAATCTGTGACTAATTTAAAACCTGTGTCTCTAGGGCATTTGATGTTAAGCGGATCTCTTTTGCTTTTGTCTTGCATTACATGATATTCACAGCTGATACCTTCCAAGCTAAAAGCCATGTATAGAGCAAAAAGGCTCTTGTAGGGGGAACACCTTCATGTTGTGTGAAGTAGTGAATGTAAAATATCTGCAGCCTATCCCTCTGGTCACCCCAAGCATTAGAGTTTAGCATAGTGTAAGAGATGGAGCTGCAACCTTGCCTGCCTGCAAGTTACATTCTTTGTCCTGCAAGTGTTGCTCCCAAATCCTTTTATGTGGGCATTGGGGTTTTTTTCCTTTTGTTTAGACTGCTTTACAAAGAACTGTTTTTACAACTGCCATCATCTTTCCATCCATCCATCCAGCCCTGAATTCTGTGTTCCATGCCCGGTTTTACAACCCGGAGGCAGCTGGTACACAGCCTTATGCTAACAGTCTGGTGTAGTTATTTCCAAAGCTGTGCCAAAAGGAATTACTGCTTTCACTTGGGCATACATGCTGTTTCAACATGACTAAGGAGCAGTGACAATGGAGAAGGAAATCCTGGCATATCAGGAGATAAATGACCCAATCCTTACATGCAGCCCATTGTACACACAAAAAATAATGTGGCTGTCATGCAAAGTTGTGCTATTTCAATCTACCCAGGTGAAATATCTCAGTGCAAGGGTACAAGTACAGTTTTCTGAGTGGAATGGTTTAACTGGTATTCTGCACTAGCAGGAGGTTGGACTCGATGGTCTTCTTGGCCCCTCCAACCCTATGATTCTATGAAGTGTTGTGGCCATGATTGGTAGCATTCTTCCAATTGTCTTCTTAAGGACAACTTTTACTACAATTCTTCACCTGAAAAGGAATTTGTGAAGAAAAGGGTGTGTTAAATTTTCTGATCATCTGAGCATCCTTGTTCATCCTCCACATTGCAAGAATTTTGCCACACATTTACACTCAGCTGAAAATGCAGAAAATCAAGTGAGTGATAGTCTCCTCATCGCTTGGCAGAATGTTACCACATTGGCCAAGCTAGAACTAGCAAGGCAGTCGTGTATATTTTATTGACATATCTGTTCCATACTCATTCATATAAAAATGAGGTATGGGATCTATTTTTCATATGATATGGAGAACAAGGTTGACGGGAATGTGGGACTGGGACTCAGGAGATCTGGGTTCTAAGTCCCCACTCAACCATGGAGCCAACTGGGTGACATTGGGCCAGCCACAGACTCTCAGCACAACCTACCTCATGGGGTTGTTATTACAAGGATAGGATTGACAGAAGGAAGAAGAGAATTATGTAAATTGCCTTGAGTTCTTGGAAAGGAAAAAAGGGAGGATCAAAATAAATAAATAAATAAATTGCTGTGCACCATTGCTTGAAAAAATTATTTCTTCCACTTGGCTCACAGTATGGAAGTAAAGTGCGAATGTGGCATTGTCCTGCTGGTTTTCCAAGTCATTAATGGCTATATATCATCTTTGTTGGAAGAAGCAGTTTGCATCTCAGCACCACCTGCAGGGGAATGTCATCTGGTGGGCTTTTGTTTTCTATGTAGCCCCTGTGGAAACGGAATGCAGGACTGGACAGGCCATTGGTGTGATCTGACACAGCTCTTATGTTCCTCTCACCCCCACATTCCATGTCATGTTACCCCAATTTATATGTGAATGGGGCACTCACAATGGCTGCCCTGTCATATCCAGTTGGTGTAACATTTACCCTTTGATGTGAGGCAAGCTACATCTTTTCCCAACTGAAATTCCAGGGAAACAGAGAAATCACAAAATTCTCTTCACTACTTGGCAGGATGCCAGGTGAGATGAGCAGGCCCCAGGATTTTCTATATTCACCCCAAATTTGTCTCTCTTTCTCTGAAGCCATGAAGCTCCTCCCTGGTGACATTGCGAAACGCCTAGAAGAGATGGTGCTGCTGACAGCTCAGAACCTGCCCCAGGTGGAGATAGCTAAAAGTTACACCATTCTCCGGGAGCTGGGCAGTGGCTCTTTTGGGCATGTGCTCATGGCTGTCCACCAAGGCCAAGGTATGTCACAACCCAGCAAGTGGAGAAGGGTGTGGGGAGAAAGTGGTGACACAGACCCTGGATCCTGGCATTAGGGATGAGCCCTGAGAGACAGCAAGAAGGTCTTGCCAAGCATTTCCAACATGTTTTCTCTTCACTGCCATGAAGTAACCAGAATCAGCCACAGTTTATCTTGGGCTAGAAAGAACCTATCTCTAACTGAGGTGGTAAACCCTTTTTTTCTGAAATATGGTATAGTTGGATTAACTCAGCTCAAAATCCCTTCATATAATTAAAACACATGCACACTCACAGTGAATCTCCATATAGAAAATTGCAACTTATGGGAGGAGACTGGAAACCTTTTCTCCAACTTGCTTTCAGATCCTCTAAAATAAATAGAACTTAAATTAGTCATGAATAACTTGAGTTCAATTAAATTTAGTGGCCTAGTCTAAGTATGATTGTTTGGATTTAACCTTGGAATCCAGACCCTAACCCTATCCCTAACCCTAAACCCCTATCCCTAACCCTAGATAGTGGGGCCTATTTTTACATTCAGTTATGTGAGCGCTTACGTAGTCTGACATAATACAATTCAGTCACAATTTTGAGGACCCCTCTGCCCTTTTTCCGTGTAAATGCTGGGCATACTGGGAAGTGTTGGCTTTTTCTGCCTAAACTTGCCTCAGGTTGTGCCTTTAACTCTTTTCTTCAGTCCACCTGTATAGATGGACAGGGCTGGGTGAATCAGCCATGTTATTCCACCTGAAGGGGAGAGCGAGGAGGCAAGAATGGTGGCAAAGTGGCAGTTGGAAAGGGTCGCTGGAGGGAATGTGGGGTGGGGAGTCTGCAGAGGCCTGACAGGGTGGTCTGTGAAGCACAGACAGGTCATCCTGTCTGCTTGAGAAACACAAATTTCTTAAGTTAATTATCATTGTTAGACTCCCTAGAAGTAAAACAACGTAACTCTTCCTGGTCAATACCATCCAGGGAAATATATTAGTAAGTTCCACTCCCTGAGTGTAACAGAGTGGAAGATTTGGAGCAATTCCTGCTAAACGGTGGATTCAGGATGTTCTTCCATGTGCCATGATGTTATTGCCCTGCCTTGTTCACAGATTTTCACCAGGGTGCAGATGGTATTGTCTTTCTTTTCTAATCCTTCTCTGCCTTCCCACTGCTTTTTCCATCCTGTTTTCCTTCCTATCCTCCAAAATAAATTAAGTAGCAAAAACAACAACAACAACAACAACAACAACAACAGAGGTGGAAAATACAAAATAGCTCCCACAGGGTCTGAAAGCATCCAGAATCTTCTTTGGATTTTTGTTTGTTTAATTCATTTTTATACTGCCCCATAGCTGAAGCTCTCCGAGAGGTAACAAAAGTTAAAATTAAACAAAACACACACACACACACAATTTAAAAGGACAAAACCATAATTGCAATTGCTATTATTATTCAGCACAGAAGCATAGTAGTAGTACAGAATAAATTAGAATATATAAAAACAAAGTTTAAAAGATAGTTAAAATACTGGAAAATAAAAAGGACTCCACCTGGCACCAAAAAGAGTACAAAGTAGGCACCTGCTGCACCTCTTTGGGGAGCTCATTCCAAAACCAGAATGGCACAAGTGACAAGGCTCTCCTCCTTGTAATCTCCTGCCGCAGTTCCTTTGGAAAGGGCTCCAGGAGAAGGACCCCCAAAGATGACATTAGGATCCAGGAAGTTCCATATGGGAGGAGGTGATCCTTCAGATAACCTGGCCCCAAATCATTTAGGACTTTGAATGCTAGTGCAAGCACTTCAAACTTTTATTCTCATTAACATTTCAAGATGTCTTTGTAGAATAGTAAATAGTTCCCAGTAAGACCAATGGGACTTAAATAACTAACTTGTCCCTTTGAATCCATGAGACCTAACCTGAGCTTCAGTTCTATGCACACTTACCTGTCAGTTCATCCCACTGAGTTCACTAGGATTTACCTTTGAATAGACAGATTTAAAATTTAACACTTAGTTTCAATGCAAAAAAGTGCAACTTAAATTCATAGTATATAATTATTTCTAATTTCTATACTTCTTAATTTGTTGATCTATGCTAAATTGATTTATTCTAGAATAATTTGTTGAGTTGTTAGTGTTCTTGGATGTTTCCTTAAAGATATGGGAAAAAACCAACCAACCAACCTAAAAGTCAAAAAGTTAGTCCATAATTACTCCTAATTCAAACCTTTTTAACACTATGACAGCAATGTGGGATCATATGTGTAAGTGTGGAAAGTCAGTTTTTTTTGAAATGGGTAGAACTCTCATTTGTTTCATGAGCTAAAAACTTTACCCTTTCCTCTCCTGCAGGAACACCCATGGCATTAAAATTTGTACATAAGAAAAATACGGAATTGCAGGATTTCCTGAGTGAATACTGCATTGCGCTGACTTTGGGAGCACACCCCTGCATTGCTACAGCCCTTGGAATTGCCTTCCAGACCCCGCACCACTATGTCTTTGCGCAAGAGCTGGCCTTGGCCAGGGACCTCTTCTCTCTCATGGTGCCTCAGGTAACAAGGCTAGCAGGCATGGGCATTGTGGAAATACTTAGAACAATAGCAGTGTGGCCAGTTATGCTGCATGGTTGTCTACCTCAAAAGATGAGATGGTGAAGACAGAGAGAATTTCAAACATCTCTCAAGGAACTTACTTCTCAGCCCACTGCCTCTTCTGTATGTCCATCTCAGTTATCTAAGGATGTATAAAACTAAATCCTGTGTAAAGAAAATCCAAATTTTCAGCCTAAAGATATCATGGTCTTGGTTTTGAGATTGCACTAAGCCTTGTCTCAAGAACTACAACCCAGTTAAAGACATTTTAATTCTAAAGACATTTTAATCAGAAGATAATTCTTTTGGCTGTTTGTCTATATTTGTATGTGGGTTCAGTCAATTTTTTCTGAATACTTTCTTTGGTTTTTAGCTGATGTGTTATAGCAGACATGATCCTCAAGGATCATTCCTCCAGTGGATGAGAGAAGGGAGAGTACGACATGCACATGGTGGGCATGTTGTGAGCGGAGCCGGCTGGAGCCGGGAGTCAGACTAGATGGCCCGGGAGACCCCTTCTGACTCGTGCTGTTTCTATGTTTACCTCTTTGAGGGTAGTACTTACCATGTGTAGCATTCAGATGGACTTGCATTATTTTATAAAGATTTGTTGCAAATAATCTTATCAAAATACACATTTTTAGTGGATGAATCTGCATAGCCCTCTTGAAGAACTAGAATCTTGAAAAATAAAAGCTTAATTTCCTCATTCTCCTACCTTTGGGGTGTGATGCCAAATTCTGTACTCACACTGTGATAATAACAGGCATGAATATGAAGAACACATATGCATTACTTTCCTCTTTATTGTCAGCTCCATTTCTTGGAAAGATGCCTCAGAGTGTATGCTTTAAAAGACTGAAGCACATACTCTGGGTGGGTTTAGTTATTAGTGCTGAATGGGAGTAATTCCTTTTGGGGGATCAAATCATGAAACCCCAAAATATTGCTGACAACCTCATCACCTACATTTCTATAATGTAATAAAGTTTACAAAAGATTATGGAAAATACAAAAATACTGCACAATAAATAAGAAAATAAAAAATAAATTAGATTTACATAAAAATATCAATAAATTAACAAATGTTTACAAAATATTGTGCAAAATGATTACAAAGCAATTAAAATAATCCACAATAGAAATTTCAGGACAAGTTAAAACCCAAGTTTGTCAAATGTCTGGGAGTAGAGGAAAATCTTAGCTTGACTTAGCACCAGGCAGACATCTCCAAGAAGAATGTTCCATAATCAAGGATGCCACCACCAAGAAGGCCCTCTCCCTTGTTGTAATTGGAAGAGGAGGACCTCAGATGACAATCACAGTGTATGGTTAGACTCAGGCAACTGAATCTGATGCTGCTTGAGGATGGCAGAGAATTGAGGAGTGAGGCCTGGCATTTTTACCAACTCCAGAGCGTCTGTGAGGCTGTACATGACTTTTAGCTCTCCTGCTTTTTCTGCAGGTTGGTGTGCCGGAGCAGCGGGTAAAGCGTTGTGCCCTCCAGCTTTCCAGTGCCCTGGAGTATATGGAAACCAAAGGGCTGGTTCATCGTGATGTCAAACCAGAGAATGTGCTGCTCTGTGACCCTGAGTGTCGACGCATCAAGCTAACTGACTTTGGGCTGAGCTGCCCACGTGGCCAGGCCATTGAGGCCTTGCCTGAGAGCCTGCCCTACACAGCCCCTGAGTTGTGTGTTCTGGGCCCCAAAGCTCATTTGGAGGCCCAACCCAGCCTTGACACATGGGCTCTGGGAGTGCTGCTTTTCTGTGTGCTCACTGGCTACTTCCCCTGGCTCACAGCTGTGCCTGCTGATCGGTATTACCGCAGCTTTGTCTGCTGGCATCGCAGCCCCTGCTTTGCCCCACGCCCACCCCATTGGGACCGTTTCACTCCCCATGCCCTGGAAATGTTGAAAGGGCTTTTAATGCCCGATCCAGATCGCCGTACCCCTGCCAAGGAGGTGATGAATTTTATCAAGCTGCCTTGGATGGTGCCAGGTGCCCAAAGCCATACCCGGCCCAGCAAAGAACTTCTTGGTACCAGCCGGAGGTGCTAAGGATTCAGGCCATCTGTGTGGAGAAGGGAAAGAGTGACGTCAATCCCAAATCTCACCTTGGCCTTCAAGGGACCAAAGATATCCATCACCAAACTAAGATGCCTCATTGCTCCTAGAAACAAGAAGAAAATGCAGTGAGGTCAGGAAAACATAGATAAGCTTGCCAGTTTCAAAAAACACATCAAATTTTTGAAAATGTAACTCAGGGAACCACTTCCTCATATGTGAATTCATCTTAGGATAATTGTTTTTCAGTGCCCTGTCCCAGCTCTGGATCAGAGATTCAAAGGACTTGATTTCAGCCTCTCCTTGGTCAGTAGCTGACCATCTTATCCTTGAACAGTGCCTTTTGGAAAAGAACCAAAATGGAGTTATCAAAAGCCTTGGTATCTCCTTCCACCTACTCTGGATCAGACCAAATGGTATTTACCTAAAATTGCTTTTGAATTACTAGGTTGGAAATTAGTAGCCTTGCTTTCTGCAACAATGATCAGATTTACAAAACATCTTCTATACAGTTAGGAACCATGGCATCTCCTTATTCAGAGTCTGACTTGGGCATTGATAATGCTCACTGATGAGGAATTATGCTGCTGTTTGTTCAGAGCCATCTTGGAATATCTCTTGTGTCATATCCAACTGCAGGATGGGAGGATAGAGGCAAATAAAATCTGCAAGGAGCAGTTCGATCTTGGACTGGCAAAGTTGCTAATGAATTTGAGATGACATGGAGTGAGGTGTAGAATTGAAGTTGCTGTGAGTCTAGCACTACCTAGCTATGCACTTGCTTGTATGCTGCTGCAATACTCACGTCTTGTATATTTGTAAAATAAATAGAAAACATTAAAAAAGCTATATATTGTTGGTAGTCTCTCTTCCGAAGCAGACCAATCTTTTCATAGTTAACTGAAACTTTCTACTGCTTGGGAAATTGAGGAAGAAAAATTGATAACCATAATCGTGGCAGATAAATGCTAGTCATTATATAAATGTCTGATCCTCCACTCTGGCTTCCCACTAACAGTCAAGGTCTCATTACAGCCCTCTTCCTTTGAGCCATCATGTCTTCTGGACTCTGGTCCCATCCAGCTTCCCAACCTCACAAGCTTCCCCTGCTATGCACACATCATCCCTCCTGTCTGAAGTCTATTTGCCACACCTCCTTTTACCCTGTCCATCCCTCTTTCCTGCATGCTCCTGATTCTTGGGTTCTGTCTATGCATGGAATAGAATGAGATGGTAGGATGCTGTGGGGACAGAATGGATTGTATCACTTCAAGTTACAGATGCAGCATCATCTTTTTGTCATGTTCTCTTATGTTAAGAACTCCCTATGAAGATTAAACCAGACTTAAGCCAGAAACCCAGGCTAGTACCTCTTCCCTCTGGCATTGCAGTTTCTATTTAACTTGCTATTTGCTAACTCCCCTATAATTACACCCACAATGACCAAGTCCAACCACTAGTCAGGATGAACCCTTGGGAGTCAATATGACTGTTCTAAAGGGTGTTCACACAACATGGTGGAAGGTATAGGGACAAGGGAAAGACACATTTGTTCCCCATCCTGAAGGTTTTCCAATTTCTCAAGTCGTGTCCAATATGAGACTCAGTATGTTACAAGATATGAATAACCAAGAGCAGCTGTAACCGGAAACTATTAACAAGTGGCCAATTTTGCTTGGCTCTTGCGACTTCTCATGCAGCTGCTAAATATAACACAGTGCTGAAGATGGCCACAGCAGGTGGGTGGAAGAAAATTGCTCTTATCCCTTCCTGTGCATTCTCTTCTTTGATTCTCTTCAGAGCACTCAGAATTATTGTGGTCACAAGGTTTTGAGGGGGATTATGTTCAGGACTGTGTGAATTTTCACATATCCAGGACTAATCTGCCAAAGCGCAGAGTTTGGTACCTGATATTGAACTGCCCATCCAGGTAGATAACAGATGTGTTCAAACAGAACACACAGCAAAATTTTTAGCTCATGTGGATACTGGACTAAGATAAAAATTTACCAGCAATTCAGGAATAAAGCTCAATAATCAGAGGAGCTGGACAGCCCCTTTCTGGTCAGAGGGTAGAACATGCCACATAGCTACTCTTCATTTCTCCTAGTACTTTCAAAATAAGAGTGTACAAGTAAATTAGTTTAGTTTGCTAATGGATCAGGCTGTCCTATTTTATTTGCCTTAAAGGAGAATTTAGGTTATTCTGTAATGTGCTGCATGCACAGCTTGGAGTACTCTGAAGGGACATTAGAAGAATGTTGTCCACAATGTGAGAAAATAGGGGAAAGGGTGAGTGTTGAATGGTACTTCAACTTTTAGAAGCATAAGCCCATGATACTTGACTTTTAGAAATAAAAGGCAATTTTATTCAGGAATATAGTTTGGTATTTGCCATACTACCAAAAAGCAGCAATTAATATCTGAGGGAAAAAATAAAGGAATACACTGAGGGACATTCTTAAAATAGGGATTATGTAGTCAAGTGCCTAGAGTGCAGGACTGAATCCCAATGATGTTGTCAAATTCTTGCCTCATCTTATTGGGGGGAATGGAGAGGCTACTAAGAACTAAGTATGCCACTATCTACCTTGCTTTGAGTTCTGTTTCTTGGCCACACTTGAAATAAGGCAGGTTGCTTACTTGTAACTATTGTTCTTTGAGTGGTCATCCATGTATTCATACACATGGGCTCTGTGCCTGTATGAAGCCTGTTCTTAGGAAGATTTCACAGCTGAGAACATTTTGGCAAGAACCCTGCCTTCATCTGGTATATAAGGAAGGAGTTCCCTCCCATTCTCTCAGATCATTGAAGACTGCTTTTGTGGCCACAGAACTGAGGGAGAATCATTTTGCTCAACCTCGATCTTATTTGAACCAATTTAAGTACAAAGAGGAACATTTAGAGGAAACTAAAACAAGTTTAGTTCAGGAAAAAAAACAGTTTAGAATACGTCACCAAGGATGTACAAAAAATTGGAAAGTCTCTCTTGCAACTTGGAGGTGCAGGAAGCGCCTGCCTATGCTTCCTTAAGATTTACTGAGGCTAACTAACCTCCATCTTGTAGCAAGAGCAAGAAGCTTTGCAAGGTGATCAGTTTGAAACTTATTTGCTACAGTGAAGGAATTGAGGTATCTCAAGTCCAGGGTCAGTCAGAACCTTCCATCCTGCCTCAGTACTGTGAAGTATCTGGAGATGAATCTGAGAGGAGCTTGGAAGAATGCAGCCCCCTGTAAGTTACGATTCCACCTCCTCAAGCAAACTTAAGAGATGGGGCTGTATTTCTTACATTACTGAGAAATGGGACAGCATTGGACTCAATTCTGTAACCTCTGTCCACAATATGATCTCAAGTGCCTCTTCCTTTTCAGAATCCAGCTTGTACCTCAAGAATTTCTCACTCCATATAGAGTTATGTCTTTTCTTGCAACAGTTTGAGCATCACTTTTGCATGCATGGGAAATCAGTGCAATGGCCCTATGACTGCTGCACCCTTTTGTATCTTTTAAGAAAATTTAGTGAATTGCCCTATTCAAAAATAGTGAATAAACAGAACAAAAGAGGAGGGAAATGTCAGAGAATTGGTAATTCTATTTCCATTGCATGCTTTACATAACAAACCATATTTGCTGCCACCTAAACAAACAGACATGGTTTTCAGAACATGACAACCTGGAGTATGGGTTGAGTATGACTTGTTGAATTGTGGGTTGCTGCTGAATTACAGGTTGAGTTGTATGAACCTAGTTGGCTGATAAACCATGGTTTGTTAATCAGGGATAAACCAAAATTCACAACCCAACAACAAACCATGGTTTCTATGGGTTGTTAGTGATTAACAAACCATGGTTTATTCATGTGGCTGGGTTCACACAACAACCCACAGTTCAATGATTTATTATATATCTAACATTTCTATAATGTTCCTATTTAGTCACTGACTCTAAGGATGGTTTACAATGTAACAAAATCTAAAAACATAATAAGCACTATGATACACAATTAAACAATCACAGATAAAACCAATAAAACTCACATTAATAAGAAAAATTTAAAAGCAAGGAAATGAACTATGCCAAATAATTATAACATTAATGCAGTCAAAGCAGACTTAACAAAACAAATAGCCCAAGTGCCATGTAAAATAAACAAATTAAAAATATAAAATTTTAACAATTAAAATTGTGAAAATTAAAAAGGGGTTGGCCTGGTGCCAAAAGGTGTATAATGATAACCCATACTTAACCCAAACTTTGGACTGTTATTTTGGGTGAACCAGTTTGCAGAGACGTTCATTCACATGTTCAGTGCTGCTGCTTAGAATAGCAGCTCTGCCCATGATGGAGGCAAGAAGTTGGGACTGAGCAGATGGCTTGTCTAGAAACTGGGACAGAACAGCTCTATAGATAATCAGTAATGAATAGCTGTTTATGAACAGCCAGCGAGAGGGACCTGTGTGACAAACATGGAACTGCATACTTGCAGTTGTGTGTGGGGGTGCCTGTGCTTTGGTTGGAGAGTACTGAATGTGCTTCACTGTGTGTCAATCTTCTTGACATTTGGGCAGGTGGTAGGGAGTTCTAATCCTCTGCCTCTTTAAAATGTCCCTTGGAAATTGATAGTTCAGGTGTGAATATAGGAAGAGCAATGAAAACACAGTCATAGTGATTACCTAAAGTGCTCTGAGTGGGCATGATCGCAAAGACCTTTTCCTGGAACCTACTTTTGCATACGCCAATCCCACTTCTTAGACATAACCAAATCCCACAATGGCCAGTTATTGCTGGGAAGTGGGTACATGGAAATGACACCTTGGTTTGGTTTTAATGTTTGTGCTGTACTGCAAAGAATGTTGTAAAGGTGGAAGAGTCCTTACTCCTCTTTCCAACCAATTTCAGAAAGGGTGGAAAGGAGTCCCTGTTGGCCCACCCTCTAACTCCAAGCTTGGGTGCTACTGTGCATGCTCACAATAGTGCCAGGATGCCAGTCAGCT